TGTAGGATAGCATGGAGAATAACTAATTCATGCATAACTAATATAAATGACCCCTAAGTGTGATGTTTGGTTACTAATTTACAATTCTCCATAATCGATACATATATAAGTTACAAGAATCTCTCTATATTACTATATATAATAAGTTATTGTAGAGAGGAGCTTGGGATTAATTTTCTCTATTTACAAATAGAGGAACTAAGTTTCTTTTATTGAAAGCACACTTCATTGGCCTATCACAAAGCTGACCCACCTACTTTTATACACTCTTCTTTCATTATATATATTTTTTTTCTTTTTAAATAGTACAAAAAAATAAATTTAAAATATTACAAACTCGGTTAACTCTCAAAATTTTACGCAAACTGTAAAATTAGGACGAAGGGAATAACATATATTATTTGAAAAATTACATTAAGAATACCATAAACCACAATAGTTAACAACTTACAATATTTGAAAAACATATTAACTCTCAAAATTTCACATGTGTCACATAAATTAGGACAAATAGAGTAACATATATTATTTGAAATTTACATTAAGAATATTATTAATCACAACTTAAAGTATTTAAAAATAGATAACATATATTATTTGAAAATAATGTAAAAAATATTATAAATCATAATAATTAACAATTTAACGGATATTGTGCCGTGCTTGCATTTAGAAGTGAGAATGTTTAGGAGCTTAGGGTCAGTCGGTCAATTGACCGATTTGCCCTTCTTCTTCAACTTCCTCTATGAATACTATTAATTGCAACTTAAAGTATTTAAAAACATATGAATTAGAGCAGCTTGGGATCAAATTTTAAAATTTACAATGAGAGGAACTTGCTTTAGGTACTTAGGGTCAAGTTTAGAAATTTATAAAGATGGAAACTAATCTGAAATTTAACCTTCATATACTACTTTATCTGAGGGGTTGCTCAGCTGGTAAAGGCCTGGGACAAAGTCCTTCAGGTCGCCGGTTCGAGCCCCAGCAGGGCCACTGGAGGCATTACAAACCGGCCGTGTCTCCAGGGCCCCGTGGAACTAACCGTGGTGGACCCGCCTTGAAACAGCGGGACCCGGTGGGTATAGCTAGTCGGGTTCGCAAAGCGACTCCCGGAAACCACGGTAAAAAAAAAAAGAAAAAAAGTGTGTGTAGTGCCTTTTCCCTAACAAACTTTTCACTTCTCTTTGCAAGTATCTAAAATTACTTCTCTGTACGTCTTTCGCTTCACTTTCCCTAAAACAAAATTTACTTTAAAACTCAAACAATCTCAAATTTAAATTAACACTGATTATTTAGAAAAATGTGATTAACTTTCGAAATTTCACACGTACTACATAAATTGGGTTAAAAAGTAACATATATTATTTTAAAAATTACGTTAAGAATATTATGAATCACACATATAAATAGACAAATAAAATAACAATTATTGGGCACGGGCTCCATTGTATCTAGTATATTTATATAGAGAGAGTAAACGAAGATATAACTAATACAGGTATAATTACCTTCTTGTATCACTAATATATGTATAACTCTAATCAGCAACCAAATGACCCCAAAATATATATTGACGATGACTACAAAATATTATAATAATTTGATCAAATATTTTTAAACCGATAGACTAAAAATGTTAAAATTTAATTAATATTTTCTTTGATTTGGATATCCATTCAAATAAAGCCCAATTTCATGCACTGAAAGGTACTTAGCCCAGTTAGCTAAAGCCCACCAGTTTTTTCTGACCAATATTTGGTTGATACATACTCCATAGCCATGGTTGATCTTATTTATTATAGACACGGAGCCAAGATTAAAAGTTTGGGGGTTCTAAATTTTAGAACATAAGAGAAAAATATTGCAAGACTTGTTTCCTTTAAAAGAAAAATGAGGGTTGAACCCAAAACACGGGTAAAACTTATCCGCACCGGGTGTTTACACCAAGCCAATACATGCATGCCATGTGTTTAAATTTATAGTTCATTTACTTCATTAAATCACGTAATAATGGAAATTGCGGCTTGGTATAAACACCTGGTGCGGGTAAGTTTTTTCCAACACGGGTACAATAGTGTGGAGGGCATTTTCACCACCATTTTCTTACCATTGAGTTGTCAATCAATTTTGTTAGGAGTTTCACAAGTAAATATATACATATTTTTATTTATTTTTCGAATACAAATATAGGATCTACGAAAAAACTAGTGGGTTAATCCGAACCCATGAACCCTCACCTAACTCCACCTATGTTGATCTATATAATTAAGTTTTTTGAGAATTATTTGTAACAAATATAACTAAGAGTGTCAAATGATCGAGTTAAGCTGAATTTAAACGTGTAAATAATAAGCTATAAAAAATTACGAGAGCTAAAATAAGTTGGACTTAAATGAGCTAAGAAATGAGTCACTAGTCACTCTGTCTAATTTTGATTAAGTTTTAATTTCTTTATTTGTTTTTTTTTTAAATATTTTTTCTCTCTTTTCTATTACTGTGTATATCATATTTGTTTTTTAAAAAAGGACAAAGATTCCTATGAGCCAATTTGAAATAAATAATAATTAAAAGTTTAAGGAATTGAATTGAACGAGTCAAAATAGATGGATTAAAAATTGAATAGATTGGACGAAACAATGTTTTTTCCTTATGAGATTACAGGAAAATGAATTGAGTCAAAAAATGGGAAAAAAGAAGTGTCTTGCATATAAAATTTTAGCACTTGGCTATGATTAAATTAATATACATTCACATATTAATTTGTGATGTTTTGATTAAATTGTTTGATCCAGTGTAAATATTTATAATGGACAAGTATTTTTTTCTCATAATTTTAGCATATTCTCATGGTGGATCTAAACTTAAGAAGTTGCGAGTTCTATTAAATTTAATTATATTTATTGTTGAGATTTATATATGTATTAAAAAATTCTTTTAATATATAAAATAATTTATCTAGAATCCAATAAATAAAAAATATTTATGTTCAGAAATCATAAAATTTAAATTATATTTAAATAGAAATATATTTCAGGAAAATGACGATAAAATTAGATAAAGTTTGAGAAAAAAAGTAAAAGAAAAATGCGATAATATTAATTAAAAGTTGTGATAAGACTTATTTTTTCTTATTTAAAGTTTTTAAGGTATACAGCTGTAGATATGACATATAAGATCCAAAAAAAATAATGTAGGCCAAAATAATACTAATAAAATTTCATTTGAGAAATTTTCAGAGATAATTAAAACATAAATCATTTTGTTTGTTGAAAATCAAATTTTAGATATAAAAATATTGGAAACCAATTTTAGATTCATTTATTTTTCACTTAATATCAAATGAAATAAAGTATTAGGTAATTTCTCTTTATTTATTTAAATTTAAGTAAATAAAGTTACTTGATATCTATATTGGTGAAAGATAGCAAGCGTTGGAATCAAAATAATATGAACATGATGTGAAAATTAATAAAGCAAATCTTGAACGATAATAAATAATAAACAAAGAAAATATACAAAAAGAGACATAATCTTCAATAAGATTCGATCAATTATTCTACGTTGAGAAAACTAATATAAAACTATTGAAAGTATATTCTCTTCTCAAACAAAACTCTTTTAGTGACTAAATTGTGGATGTTATTGTGTGAAAGGTAAGAATATTCAATTTACAATATGTTAGAGCTTATTCCCAAAACAAAAAAAATCAAATATTAAAAGGACATTTTCCAATAAAAAAGATATTTATACTGAACAAATTTGAATATTTCTCAAAAACAATTGAGATATATACAAGCTGATTCAAATATCATTATTATAACAAAAAAAATATTCGATAATTAAATGTATTAGTGAAGAAAAAAAATACTAAATCAAATTTTTTATATCTTTTTAAATTTTGGTGGATAGAATTATCGATATGTATACTAATAAGAAGAATTTAATGTGGGAACTATTTGGGAGTGGTTGAAAACACATCCCCTTCTCCAATTTTGTCTCATTCCTTTTGTAGGAGACAATGACCCTCATGCATGGACCCAACTTGGTTTATTGTAGTAGGCCATTTTTAAATCCTAATTATTTCATTTGTTTCAAAATAAGTATTGATTTAATAATAATTTAAAAAATCAAAATAAGCATTGTTTTAAAAATTCAAATAAAAAATAATAATTGCCTTTAACTATATATTATATTTATTATATAGTATAAATGTTAGATAAATTAAAACAATACTTATTTTGAAACGAGAAAATAAATTGCTATAGGAATTTGACTTAAAAAGTCAAAGATCGAAAAGATCGTAAGAATCAAGTACCAGATGATCATCTAACAAGTATAGAGATTGATGACTCATTTCTAGATGAGCAAACATCAAAAGTTAATGGCCATAATAACTTCCAATCACACAACTCAAGATTCCAATTAGAAGCTACAAAATATGTTTTGTTTGTTCTCTAATGAATTCTACAATGGTCATAATTTAGTCTAAAAAGAGCTTTATCTCCTTACTTTATAAAGAGTATTATAAAAGTTAATTACACTTTTCTCCATAATCAACTTTTTCTTCATGACAGTCAATATAATGATCATAATCATCAGACAAAACCAATTTACCAAATCAAATCAAAAAAGCACATCAACCACCATCAATAAACAAAACTAATCCTACCAAAATAATTGCCACAGTATAAAAAATAATAATAAGTAATTTCTTTCTACCTATCGCAGACATAATAGTGCTCGCAAACTAACATGAACACCAACAACATAAAAAGAATGACAACAACACAAACATGAAATAGATGCATTGCAAACACGTTCTTGCCTCTCTATCTCCACAAAGTAAAGACAAGGTTGTTACCTCACTAGGATGTTATTGTAGAGAATACGTCAAACTTTGTTGTGCGTGAGGATGATATTTGAAATTCAATCAGAATAATCTACAGTGTTAACGAAAATAGTATAATAGTGATAAAAGGGAGTTGAAAAAAGGTCTAATAATACCATAATAATTATTTATGTGGAAAATATTTTTATATAATTTATAAAATTCACAAGGCACCACCCATGACTAGCTACTACCCTACAACCGTACAAGATCCTAATAAATAAACAAATCACATGGAAACATCATGCTTTTCCACAAGGAAAAGAACAAGATTAGCAAAAACATGATGCTTGGCCCATATCCTTGACCTTCCACCACCCATCACCTAACCAAATCCTTCATGCAACCAGGCCCTTTTCTTGTGTAACAATTGTCTACATGTATTTTGTCAGGATCCAATGTTGAAGACAAAGGCATTGACTTATAAAAGATTTAGAAAATGAACCTTCCTTCTTTTGTCCACCTATAATAATAGCAATGTACAATAGAGCATTGGCTAGCAAACAATAACAAAAACTACTGTCTTTGTTGTATTCATATATCCTCATATTCATATTGGTGGGTCAATATTGATTAACATCCAAGAAAAGTCCACCACAAATCACTTCTTCTTGCATTCTTACCTGGTCCAAAAAATTTGACTTTTTTGAGTCTTTATTCACACTAGTTAGTAGTAGCTATGTTGCTTCTTTTGAAGGATCTGATACGAGTGCGACAACATTTTCGAAGAATCTGAGTGATAGAGGCTAGTAGTATTCCATTGAGGTATCAGGGCAACTTCCGTCAGAGAGAAATTCTTTACTGAATGGAGGAGGAATGAATGGTGGTGAAGTACATCTTAAAAGTGCCCAATTGACTCCTTGGAAGAATGGATGGTGTTTGATTGCTGTAGCACCCATAGTTGATCCCATTCTTCGCGCGGGATCCTTAGTAAGGAGTTGTGATATCAGGTCTTTAACTGGGGCTGGCATTGATGGTTCCTTAGGGAATTCGAGGGCTCGAGCAACGATGTTAGCTAGGGTTAGTTCATGGTCTATACCTTTAAAAGGTGTTACTCCATATAGCAACTCAAATATGAATATCCCTAGTGTCCACCAATCTACTGCACTACCATGACCTTCACCTGATACAATCTCTGGTGCCAAGTACTCGTGAGTTCCCACGAAGGACATTGAACGAACATCGACTGGTTCAGCTACAAATTCAGGGCCACCAAGATGTCCTGGCTTCTTCTTTCGCTTTCTTTTCGGGTGGAAGCATGATACAGCAGGTACTATACAGTTTGGCAGGATACATGAAGAAGCTGTGAACTTTGGTGGTTCAATTTTGTACTCATTTTGTTGAGGTCCACCATTAGGTGTATTTTTACTTGAAATCACTTGAGCTGGTGTTGATGTAGAGGTATCACATTTTAGCGAGAGATCAAAGTCTGTGAGCATGATATGACCATCCGATCGGACCAAAACATTTTCAGGTTTCAAGTCGCGGTAAACTATTCCCATCATGTGAATGTACTCCAACGCTACCACCACCTCCGACACATAGAACCTGGAGATATCAAGTGGTAACATCAGGATTTTCACTAAGAAGATTCGAAATATAAAAAGTTAAACACAAGAAGATGAGACTAATGGAAGCATGAGGGAAACAAAGAAAAGAACCATAGTTAAATGAAGTAAGGACTATAGGGCTCAAATTTTTTGGGGGCCCACCTTTTTTATCTGGTATTCGATATTTGTATTGATTTTTTCAATTAATTTGATTTCGAGACACACGAGAATGATTAAAGAGGAAAGTGCTCCCAAGCAAGATTTTTGTCATTCTAAGGTTCGAAACCAAGGAGGGTCCAAGAACTCTAGTTAAGGAAGGATGCGGCCCAATTTTCGCTGCACAAAGAAGTTTGTTTCAACTCTTTATCATATGGGGAGGGGACCAATATACTTCTTTAAAGATAGCAAAACTACTCTATACTTTAGTTTGTGGAATATGTGCTGGCCCCCTAATTGTTTCCCCATGCAACGTAGCAAGATTTAAAAAGTAGGTCCTTGAAACATTGTCCCTATATCATGGCGCAACTTTAATGTCCTCTTCTCCTTTTTGTGCTCTTCGTTTGGTTGCTTTCCACAAGTGCAACATTATTACATTTTGTACTAGATTAATTAAAATGAGAAAAAAATGTTCGTGGGATATCCACAAAAGAAGAAAATATCAAGGACTTTCACAAGTGCGGTTTGAAAAAGGTTTTCTAGGCATACCTTACCCACCTTTATGGGATAGAGAGGGTTGTTTCTAATAGACACAAGGAAAATAACAAGATGAACAAAGTAAATGAATCGAGTAGTAGTAAAAGAGTTCTTTTAGTAATGGTGGTATCCGAATTAACCTAAGCACACACATCAACTAATTTCACAAGGTATCTGTTATCTCCTACTAGGATAGATATCGATTATCTAGTAGACAATTATACTTAGAAAATATCATGGGCAATTGAGCAAATTGAAAAGATAATGCAAGTATATTAGAATAAACTCACCCACAAATTAGTTGAAAAGTATGGCCTACACAAACAGGGCATATCTTTATCGGTAAAATATATCCTTGTACTTTGTAGGCAAAACAATGAACATGGGAAGCAAGAAGGGAAGACTATGTACCCCCAATAATTCTGATTAGTTCAGTAGGTAGTGCATTTTGACAAAGAATTAAATTATTATGGGACATTATTTTCCGTCTACTATTTTAGGTGTGAATAGTTGATCTTTTGGTTAGTACAAGTTTGATAGACAAAGTTATCTGATACATGTGCTGGTATAAAGTAGGAGATATTATAACAACAATAGTTATTCAGTGTAATCACATGTGGGTCTTGAGAGGATGGCAAGTACGCTAACCTTATCCCTACTTTTGTGGGATAGAAAGGTGATTTCTAATAAACCCTAGACTTAAGAAAATCGTGTTTCATAACATGTTTGTGCAAAATGCACAAGTAAAAAGCTAAAAGTAATGACACTAGAAATAAAATTGATAACCAAAGAAAAAGGAACAACCGTAGTAATAATATTGTTCCAGATTATGACCATGCTCTACCACTGAAAAGAGAGAAATCGCTTGACTACTTACTAACTATCTACTCGATATAAGGTAACAAATATTCTGTAAAATTAGTCGAGGTGCGTACAAACTGATCCAAACACCATGAATATAAAAATAAAAAAAATTATCTGATTTTTCTTTTTTGTTTCATGTGTCACAAGGGATCATATAATCAAAAGAGAGGTCCATCCAAATCATAAAAATCCAAATGTAGGCAGTGAAATGTCAAGTCAAAAAAAGTAATAATCTTGAGGACATGATTTTCTGCTCAATCAAAAACTACTTTCTAAAGTAAAAGCTAGAGAAATTAGATTTGAATCATTTCTTCTAGTTTCCTTCTAGTCATATTATTATTTTTGGTCTAGCTAGGTTGTCATTATCTGTATAACTTGTGTACCAACATGGCATATTTGTCAATTATACTAATAGTTAAATATATATATAGGGCCTCCTATGTAGATCAATTTATTGCAATATAATATGGGACCACTTTGGTAAAGAAAATATTTTATGAAAAAAATAGTTTTCAAAATTAAAATTCCAAATCCCTTATATTAAGGAAAAGTTATAAGGCAAGACTATTCCTTAATTTTGGGAATAATAACTGGAAAAGCTATCACATTTTAAAAAGTTTATTTGACAAATTAACTTTGGACTCATAGTTTATAGAATTTCATACTAGGATATTGCCAAAAATAGAATTTAAATATTTGAAGAATTAACTATCTTGATTTCGTTAATAAATTTATAAAGAATCTTCGAAGACTATCTTTCTTAAGAAAGAAGGCAAAATCTTTTCGAATTAGATTCCACATAATATCAATGAGGATTATTGTAGAGTGATAGTTTAATTAAAAATAATTATTTTTATTAAAAATCCTTCCATTTAAAAAAAAATATGTAAAACTTACTATTATGAAATTAAAATTTAATTAGATCTCAATATGAATACATAAACACCGACCAAAAAACATAAAATCTACACAACTACTCAAAACTTTAGTGGCTCTATGTTCATTCTTTTCTAGTGTGATAACAAATAATAATCACAGATTCAATTGATGAAGTGGTGAAGAGAGTAAAGTATACAAAAAATTTATCTCTATTTCGTAAAGGTCTAAAAGCATATTAGTGGTAATAGGGTGGATATCGCATCAAATAGGAAAAAATACTCTAAATCATACAACTATAATGAAATATATGATCAATCAATATTTTTAGAATTTAAAAAAGGAAGAAAAGATTCATGTTTGATTTGAAGTATTAGTTCATTTCGAAATTATTTTATTCTGCCATTTATATTAAAATAGTGAGATTACTATATGGTATCCCATATAAAAGGTGAGATATTTCATTTATGAATATCCTTATTTATCTCATCTCACGTACCAAACTACATATTTATAACCGACTTTGATATTATACAATCTTAGTATAAAATATTTTCTTTTAAAAAAAGGACTAGAGACGTGATTAGCTCCTTCCTTTTTCACATGCACCTCATCAAGTCAACTATTAAAAAAAATTAATGAAATATGTATTGATTGATTAGTACTCCCATCATGATCATTAAAAGCTCTATCACTCCAACTAAACGATAATTAACAAATCCCAAAACAATTATGACACACAAGTTCTTTTTTCCCAGACCAATATGCTTTAGAATCGACTAATTCAAATTCATACCCTTTAAAAATATAATACATTTTTAGACGATTTAACACTACTATAACAACTTTTAAAAATTGTAGGGTTCGTAAAAACCTTGTTTTTTGATCCACGTGGCGAGTGCTTATTGGCTGAAGTTAAACTTTGACTTTTAAGTATAAAAGTCATATTAGTAAGCACGTGTGGATCACAACTTATAATAATAATAATAATAAACTAATCATAATTTTCTAATTATCTTTCCTAATTAATTACCATTTTAATCAATGATCCAGTGTGCACAAGTCCACTATAGATCCAGTGTGGCCTCAGTGAAAAGAAGAAGATGACAATGACCAACTTAGATGGAGCCATAATACTGACAATTACCAGCTCCAACACCACCTGGTGGGCCCCACAGGAGCAAAACCGAAAAAGGTAGAATAGAGAAATTCATCCGAACTCAACAAAAAATTATACAATATATTAAACTCCATTAGTTTTTCATGTGTATTTGTTTTTTTATATTTTGAATTGGTTAGTGAAAATGTTAGTTCCGTCACTGTCAACTCAATTTCAAAAAAATTAGATTAATTACGAACTTCGTAGCTAATTTGAGAATAGCTAACAAAAATCCGTAGCTAAATAGATAGCACGAATTACAAAAAGTAGTGATTGCAGTTGATGTATTGTGTGTGTATAGTTTAAATGTACTAGAGAATAGTGTACCTGACAGCGGATTCAGGGAAGCGTTTCGCCGGTTGACGTTGCCGGAGTACGTGTAGATCACCGCCGGGGCAAAACTCCGTCAACAAACACGACCATTTCGGTGAATCAATAGAAGCATAAAGCGTCGGAAGGAAAGGATGATCTAACATTTCAAGTATTTCCCGTTCAGTCCTCGCTCTTCCTTCCTTATTACGGCTCGCAAGTTCCTTCTTATCCATAACTTTAGCAGCAAAGTACGCCGATACCGCCGTCGATTTCGAAATCTCCGTTACAGGAGCAGCTTTGATTTCTGCGAGGAAGACAGAGCCTATATCGCCGGATCCTAGTCGATGGAGAAATCGGAGATCAGTTAGAGAAATTGCCGAAGAAGTAGAAGTGGAAATACCACGTGTAATGGCGTCCCAGTAAGGATCACCGGAAGGAGTAGCGGCGCGTGGCTTAGTGATATGGTGGTGAAGAGAGTTGGAAGAGATAGAAGAAGCCGTAGCCGTCCATGTGGCTTCGGAGCCGGAACTAGTCGACCGGTTAATGTCAGTGGCGGTGGTGGTGGTAGTGCTGGTAGTAGAGTTGAAGCTGATGCTTTGAAGGTCATCGGCTAAGTCGTCGAGCCATGGCTCCATTTTTGGCTCGAGTTTTTTGGGCGAAGAAGAAGAAAAAATGTGAATGAATAAAGAGACGTAGAGAGCTTTTTTAAGGTGAATTTTTTTTTCCTCGGGGAGCGAAATTCGCTTTGGGCTTTGAAAAAAGGGGGGATTGGGCCACGTAAAGTCCGTTGTTTGTGTACTATATTTTGGGTACCATTGGGCCCATAAAATATTTTCTTATTCCAAACTTACATTTGAACATGCGGTATAAAGTCATGATTTCAAGTCAACATTTAAACATACGAGTTGTAATCATGATAAATCTCAAAGGATTCTAAATCAAGGTGGTGTCTTAGTTCTTTGCATTCGTGAAACCATGATCGCATTCGTGGAGAAGGATTGCTCTTGACCTTTGTGTTCGTGAGAGTCACAACATGTTTATGGACAAGGATTACTCTTGAACTTTGCGTTCACGAAGAAGGACTAGTTGGAACGGGTCGTGGTCATGATGTAGTGGTCGGGTCAAGTGATATCTTGTTTATGAACTATGATTTGCTCATTTAATAAGATTGGATTTTAAAAAAAATAATTTTCACAACTTGTAGGTTTTCATGTTTAAGGAAAAAATAACTTAAGAAATAGACATGTACTTCATTTCAATTTGATTTCATATCTCATGTCCAAACTGATTGATCCTCCTTAATCAAGTATTTGCATGGATTCCCTTATTTAGTGGTGATCTTTAATTAATTTTTTTTTGTGCTTCTCATTTAATGAAATTTTGAGAGGCAAAGTATCTTTAATTATGATTTAAATTTGCAAGACAAAGGCTTAAAGAACCTTGGTCTTGTCTGACATAAGTTGTGTAGTATCTAATGTCACACAACATATGTTTAGAGAACTTATGCATTGTTCGACATAAGTTCCGTACATAGGAATGAGTTATATCTGTTGAGACATAACTTTGTGGATTCAAAAACTGAACTTATGTCTTCTATGAGCATAAGTTCTATCTGAACTAAGAGGAATAAGTTGTAGATTGTGAACTTCCTAATCCATATTGTTCTTACACTGAACGTATGCCTTCAACAACAACAACAACATACCCAGTGAAATCCCACTAGGTGGGGTCTGGGGAGGGTAGAGTGTACACAGACCTTGCCACTACCTCGTAGAGGTAGAGAGGCTGTTTCCGAGAGACCCTCAGAACGTATGCCTTATAATGCATAAATTAAGTTGTGCCTTGAGTTTTTTCTGCCTCGTAAGACATAACTTGTGTCTTGTAAATTTATTTGCATAATAATTTTTTTTGTTTTAGTTTTTTTTTTCTAGAGATATTTTTGTCCACTTTATTATTAGTCAAAGTGCTTAAGCGTAAAGGACAAAGATTGAAGACCACTAATTTAAGAGGCAAAAATTAAAAATCAACCAAAATAAGAACATTATTTATGCGGAAGACAATTATTTATTATTCGTATTTTATCTCGCATAAAATAATATTTAAATTTACACATAATTTTTATATAGAGAGACAACCATAAGAATAACCAATTACAACATAACTAATGCTTAGTTTTTATGCGGTGTATCAAATAATTAAATAACCAAATATTATATTGGCAATACTAGATTTCATCACGTCTCATGTACGAAACAAAAACTATTGCAATTATTTTATTTGATTTCCCATTCAGTATTCGATACCCATATTAAAACTCGACTATTTCAGATTCACGCCCATAGGATCTCAATTTAGAAAAAATCACTCCCTACCAAAGATTTTTTCATATCAACACGAGACCTCTGATTAAAAAAAAAGCTACAAAGTTTTAATTTCAACTAGTTTCTCAAACTAGACTAGAAATAGAAAAAAAAAATCCCATTATGAAATAAAATTGCTGTATTTTAAAATTATGAATTTGCAATTGTAGTATTTACTATTTATTGCAATTTTGTAAATTTCCTCATATTTACTTATGTTCATACTAAAGCTCAATCCACTATTGGTGGGTTTTATGGTTGTACTTATGTCTTGAATCTGATACATCGGAATTTATGAATATACGTAACTTAATAACTTTTGTTCAGACTTTATATATTTATTTAAAAAAATTATTAAGTATTTAATCATAAATTTCAAATTTCAAATTTGTTTTTATCGCATTCTTGATTGGTCGTGCTTTATCCAACCATCAAATTATTCAAATCAAAGGAGAAAATATTAAATGAGAAAACGATAGTAAGAAAGAGTTAAAGGAATAAATTCGAAAATGACTATTATGGAGTACAATTTATTAGCCCCTTGGTTTGAATTTTGAAATTGTTACATTTATGGTTGTTCGAGGAATAAAAAAGTAAAAATAATTAAATTAAATTAAATTAAAGTGTGGAGATGTTGGTTAATTTTTATTGGTGGTAATAATTGTGTGCATTCAAAAAAAAGAAGGTGTATTCAACATTACATCAAAATAAGCAATTTAATATAAGGTGTTTAGATATGAGTCGAGTGATATCTAAAATGAAATAGTAACATTTGAAAGTGGAGTTGAAAAATCGGTTATAAAAAATTAAAGTTGTGATTGGACATATAGTGACTCACTAAGATTGATGACCAAAAATCAAATTCTGCTAAGTATTTTTTAAAAAGAAAAAATAACCTATAAATCAATTATAGGTATAAAATAAATTAGATTCATTTTTTTAAACTAGAAATGCTAGGTTTGAGTCTAATAATGAAATATATTTTACTAGAAAAACTTTTCTCTCACAATTAAATTAATCGAAAAATTTAATACAAATATTAAATATTTGATGTAAATATAAACCCCTCGTTTTAGTAGCTTGATTATCCTCTGATCGGCTTCGTGGACATGCAATTTACTTGAATTTTTGACTTTTTTTTTTCTTAAATAAACATCTTTCAAAAGTTAACCAAAAAAATATTATTGTAATATTATAACAAAACTATGTTTTGAAAAAAGGAATAATTCAAATAATGGACGTTGACAATGTGTGGATAACCTAATAAGTCGGTGAAATAATTCCATATTTATTCAATCTTGTCCAACTCCATATTTGTAATTATGTCCCACAAATTTATAACAATAGAAAAATGTAGTCTTGCATCGAAAAATCGTATTCAAGCTCTGTGGCTAATCTGTGCCTTTAAAAATTTTAAATTTAGCGAACTAAAATATCTTAGTAGCTAAAGGAAGGGAACGGATAATTATGCATTAATGCTTAATGATTTAGCTCATCAAATATCAATTTTTAAATATACTAATTCACTAGCCAGTCAATAAGTTATCAATTAATTTGATATTGGATTAATAATTATTAGACGATGTATTGGGTCAAATCATTTCTGTAGTGATTTCATGTTCTACTTAAGTTGATAATTATGTTATGATAAATCACATTGAGAAATATATGAAAGTAAATTTTGAAGGTGCATGCACATAAACATTTATTTAACAAATATTCTGATAGTAAAAATGTAACTATGATAATTTTTAATGGGTTAACGACTTACCCAATAAGAAAATTAAGTAATCCACCCCTTCACCGATACACCGTTAACTATAAAATTTTACTCCGTTAATCCGATAACCTAATATGAATAAATCAATAAATTAATTTCACGATTGACTTATCTGTTACGATTCAATTTTGGAAAGCCCTAAAAAAATACGTATCTACCTAGTATATATATATATATATATATATATATAGATATATATAAAATGATTACATAAACTGCAGTATTAAACAAAAGACTTCTAACTTGCCTCCTTAAGTTATATCAAATTCACAATAATGGTATATACCAATAATAGAGGACCACAACTATAAATTTAATTAATGAGTATTACTTATTATTCATAATTAAAAGTTGTATAAATAGGGGTCATGTACACCTTATTTTTTCAGCTAGTATTGTTTTCCAACCACCAGTAATTATTTGTTCATCTATATTAATTAATTCAAAGAAGTTACTATTTTTGGGACATTGAAAAATACATTATCATATTACTTACTTCAAAGTTTAGGGGACAAATTAAAAGTTGACATTGATATACTAGTACTAGAGTCTAGAATTTAAAACCTAAGTATCTATATTATTACTCATATGAACCAAAAGAAGAGGCAAATTAAGATTGACTTGATAGGTTCAATTCAACCTAATATTTTTGAAAAATAACACTATGTATAAACATGCTATTAAATAGGTTAGCACCCACTTATTTTAATTTCAATCTGACAAAACTTATGATGTCACTTCTTAAATCATGTGATATATTATAAATAATTATATATATTGTAAAAAAGGATGACGTCTCGACCCATCATCATTCTTGAGGAGCTCACATCGAAAAAACTTTTCTTTCTCATCAAATTAGCGATGCAACTTTGAGATAATAGATAAGGAGAAGCCCCCCTCTCACTCATAAATCGTAATAATCGTTATCGTACTCAATTACTACTAAATAAATTATTTTCTAAAATTGTATGTACATATCAATACTCCTAAAACACACATATGATGGTTGCATATTAAAAAGAGGCCTTCTATAAAAAAATCAAAGATATTATTTATGTTATCTATTTATTGAGCAAGAGAATACAAAAACACATAAAAGAACTTGGTACAATATATGAAGCCTTCTTAATATAAAGATTTGGGCTATTTTTTTAGTTTTAACTTGAGAAAAAGAGTGGTCAAACCCAAATAGAAATTGATTGATGGCCAAGCCCAAATAGCTTTCAAAACAAGCTATGTTATCAAAAAAGGGGGTTGAGCCCAAATAGATAGGGATGACAACGAGTTGACAAAATGACACAGCATAACACCCTATAGACTAAATTAGCAAGAAATAATCCACTTTTAATTTTTTAGCAAGAAAAAGACTTTGTTTTATTTATTTGGCATTGAATAGTTTTTTTTTAAAAAATATATATTTTTGTTCTCCTTATTTTTCTCAAACACACGTTCTAAAAAAATATTGTTTTATTATCCCTATTTTATCTCTTTTTTATTTTTTTATTTTGTCAACACTTTTAAAATAGAGTTCTTCTCTTTTTTGTCACCTTTTTCTCTTTCCAGAATTCTTTTCATACGTAATTCTCTCCCTAATTTCAATTCTTCTCCTTAATTCAATATGTTTATGGAAATCAGATATAACAATATGTTTTTTCATGGATATTTCTAAAAATCATCTTTATATATAATCTTGTTCTTGTCAAATTAATTGTTGAATTTCATGATTTGTAGAATTGAAGTTCTTTCAATTTTGTTTTTGCGAAAATTTAGGTTATTCAACCTTCTTTTGTTTTCTTTCTAAAATCCTTTTCATATGTATATTTGCTTCTCTTCTAAATTTTCTCTTATTCTCCTTAATTTACTCAGTCTATGCAAATTAGATATAACTATATATTTATCGATTGATCCTTCCAATAATTTCTGTTAATATATAATTATGTAGCATTTCTTCCCCCATTAATTTTGAAAGTTCGTGATTTGTGGAACTAAAGTTTTTAAAACTTTTTTGTCGAAAATTCAGGTAATAGTTTTTTGAAATTTTTGTTCTCAATTTCATGGGTAAGAAAGATCTTCGTAAAAAATCAGAATGTTGATTTTGATGAATACAACCCAATATATACCAATGAATTCCAATCTAAATTTAAATTAAAGTATACAAGTTTGTTATGTGAATACAAATCACTGAATACACGATGAATACGAACTAATGTATACATAGTGCAGTTACCGTATACATAAACAAAATCACATGTACAATTAGTGAATAAAATATATATATGTATCATATTAATCTCATTCTTGTATTCATTATAGTAATACGTATAATTGATGGTAATATTCTTATGTATACAATATAAAGTTTATGTACACATGCTACAATTACTGTATACATCAAAAAAAATTACATGTCTATTTTATGAATATTTTTTGGTGTATACATTTTTTTTTTATGCATACATTATGTAATTGCAACTTTAATTATTGTATAATTTATGCATATGTATTATTACAGTTTCTAATAAAATGCCATTTAATATTATTTGATTAATTATTATCGATTATGTGATAATTAATACACGTTAGAGCATTAATAATACATTTTCTTACCTTAAAAGTAGTCACAATCTTTTAATAAGTTATTTAAAGAATTTAAAAAAATTCATTCCTTAAAAATATATATATATATATATATATATATATATATATATATATATATATATATCACTTCTTAAAAGTAGGCAATGGTTTTCTAATAAACTAATTATTGTTGTTTGGTAAAAAAAATAATAATCATAAAATTACAATAAAATATATCTTTATGTTTCTGTAAATTGCGTTACTATTTTTTTTAAATAGACGGTTAAATAAAGTTGAGTTTAAAAAATTTAAGAAATTGAAAAGCTAACTTCCTTAATTATAGGAGTTAAAAACAAGGAAGAAAAAATAATCTCACATATCCTGAATTAATGCGGGTTGGTTGCACATAATAAAAAGAAAAAAACTATAAAAAGTTGGTTTTATTTCTTTTAGGCTAATACGTGCTAATTTTGTTTTAGGCTATTAATTGCTAATTAATATTGGGCTATATATTGCCAATTATATATAATAGTTGTATGTCTGTGTCAATTTTCTCATGTGAGTTGGGACCGAGCGTGACATATGCTGGGAAGGGTGGTTTTAAACATACGTGAATGTGAAATGGGTCAAAAGTTAAAATTAAAATTTCTAAGATCGAAGCAGATGCAGTTTTTCATTTTTGTGTCTCTCTTGATCCGACAAAAGTATAAGCTTACATTTTAATTAACAATTTATGATTTGAGCTTGAATACGTAAATTATTTATGTCAAAAATGATTTGATTAGTCAAAGACATAACGTTATTGAGGTAACAGATGAATAAAGATGGATGATATTATTGTTAAAGATAAGTAATTACTTAACCTTAAGAGATTAGATGAAAAAATATCATTAGAATCATTTTTCAAAAATTAGAGCTATTATTATTTTCTTAAAATGCAACAACGTATGCACGCTCTTTCAAAACATATCATGTACATTATATATATATAGCATATCCATATTATACACACGTTTACACAAATTATACAATTTATTAAGAATATGTGTATCAATGGATATCTACGGTAAAATAAGAAAATTTATAATTATTTTCAAATACCACCATAAGTCCATAACATATATATAATTATAAAGCATAATCAATCACATTGGCTAGTTTGGTAATGCAAGAAAAACAAATTTAATAAGTAAAAAATTATTTTAAAATTCAAAACAGGAAAGAAATAATTTAAGATAATTTTTTGTAATGCGAAGTTTATTTTCAAAAGATTAAAAGTCCTTTATCATCGCTTAAGAGATTTCATACTCTAATAATAATATAGATAATCCATTATGGTTTGATCCTGTTACTATTTTATTTTCAATATTTTTGATATTTGTCAAAATTATAATATTTGAGTATGACAGCTATATTCTAGAAAGGTAAATTTTAAAGAGTTTAGTATTCATTTATTATAATGAATATCATTATTATTAGGAAATTTCACATAAATCCATAGTGTTAAGGGCTAGTTACATTTTATTCTTTTTTTTTTTAATTATAAAAATCTCTTAAATTTGGTGGAATCTTAATACATCCCAAAAAGTCTCGATACATTTCGTTCCAATTTCGGATACATTCCTCAACATTCCGATACATTGTGTCTCAGTTTTGGATACACCACTCAACATTCAGATACATCGCGTCTCGATTTGAAATACATCACTCAATGTCTTGATACATTGCGTACGTCCTGATCCATCGCGTAAAGTGATGTATCCGACTGATACATCGCGTAAAGTGATTTATTATAGGAGAGAGTAGAGATTTTTATAATTTTTTTAAATGGTAGAAAATTTTAAAAAATATGATAAAATAAGTTGCATATTTAGATAATTTTTTCTTACTACAGATAAAATATTATTATAGAGAAGTAAAATATAACATGAAAAATCATTTTTTCAGAAAATTAAATTATGATAGTAAAATGTTATTACTATGAGGTTTGACTTATCATCAAGTGGAGTAATTCTTATTGTTCAAATAAATACTTCTTCCTTCTTAATTAAAGTTTTAATTTGAGTTTTTCGAGATACAAAATCATCTTTATTAGAAAGTGTTTTATGGTGAATTTTTTTTGGTGCGAATCCGAGTTTAGTGAACACCGCCTAATTGTTTCTCTTGTCCGCCATTTTTGAGCTCTTCAATACAAAAATAAAAGCAAAAAATACAGTGTCACTTCTCGTGAAATTCCCCCCAAAATTCAACTCTTTCTCTCAATTTTTCATCTCTTTCTTCATTCAATTTCACCCTTCTTTTCTCGTGATCTCCAAAGTTATTGTAATAATCTCTTCTGGGTTTTCATTATTTTCAATTTTCTCTATTTTATACGCAATTACAGTTCAAAGAACCTTACTTGTTTCCAATTCAATGGAGTTTTGACCTCTTGATCATTTTTTTTCTCCAGGTTTCTGCTTCTACCCACTCTCTCTGTATCCCTTTTTGTGACACAGCTGCATCTCTTTCCTCACTCAATTTCGCCCCTCTTTCTCCTGTGCAAAGTTTTTTTGTAATAGTCATTTGTGGGTTTTCGTTATTTTTCATTTTTTTCCAACTTTATCTTTGTGGGTTTTCATTATTTTTCATTTTTTTCAACTTTATCTTTGTGGGTTTTCGTGATTTTTTTTTTAAATCAACTTTTTCCTTGTACCCACTTCAATTTTTTCTTTTTTATACGCTTATACTGTTGAAAGAGCCTTACTTGTTTCCATTTCAATGGAGTATTGAGCTCTTGATCACTTTTTCAGGTTTCTGGTTCTACCACATATTAATCTTTTCTCATTCAGTTTTACCCCTCTTTCTCATGTGTTCTCCAAAGTTTTTGTTATAATCACTTGTGGGTTTTTGTTATTGTCAAAAAAGTTCAACTTTGTACTTGTACCCACTTCAACTTTCTCTCTTTTGTATTCATATACAGTTGAAAGAGCCCTGCTTGTTTTCATTTCAATGGAGTTTTGAGCTCTCCCTTCAATTCTGATCATTTTTTTTCAGGTTGCTGCTTATGGTGGATAATAACAAGTTTAGGTTGGATTTCCTTTTTTTTTTTTTAAATATTTACAAGAAGTTGCAAATTTGTTCTGTTGTATTGGATTATTTTTAATCTCTTCTGCTTTTTGTTAATTGCTGATGAAGTTTGTTTGGTGATGCCATGACACATCTCTAGATTACTGAAGACATGACCTTAGATAAGAAGTTATGGAGGTCCCGGATTAGGATGGAGGGTTAATAGGTAGTTGAGCGTCATCTTGTTGTTCCAGTGGGATGGGTTTTTCCTTTCATACATGTTGTCCAGCATTAGTAAGATCTGAACTAACTAATTTATCAACATTTATTTGCTTTTAACTAGTGAAGAGCTGGCTGTTCATGTTGTAAAAGGTGAACCATGGTAGACAAGGTTAATTATGTACTCTACAGACTTGCAATCCAGGGAACTGCATGATGCTTTTATTCAGCTTGTTAATGCAGTAACAATAGCAATAATAATGGAGAGGAAATAACTTAAGGCAATCAATAATATTGACGCTTACAATGTTTTAACTTGTCCGATTAATATCTACAGTATATCTGACATTCGCTGCTTGTATCAGGTGTTGAATGCTGGAAGCAAGAAGCAAGTACCCAGTACGGTCGCTCTTGTTCATCTTTGGAGTTGAACATGATTGCTCTCCATTTTGGAGAGTTTCTGATGTACTGTTTGATTTGTGTTTTTCTTCCTCTTCATATTGCTTTGTTGGAAATGGGTTAGAGAGTTACTGGCGGACGCATTAAACTTTGTTTTTCTCAGTCTTATATATATATTTTTAGGAATAATGGCTAGGTTGCCTGGTAGTAGTGAGATTACAGAGTTACTAGATGATCCTGCATCTAAAATGAATAAAGGTGCACAAAAACATCATAATGTAAAGCATATAGAAAAGTATTGTATTGGAGATGATATTAATAAACTGTTTGAGGCGATAGAGATTAGGCATTCCAGTAGGGGTGTCAAAGATGTGACGAGTAAACGTGCGATGAAGAGGCCAATGAGATCTAGCCCCTCTCGTGCGTCAGGCATAGGAATTTCTGAGCCTGTAAGTTTGAAGCAGGCCTTGAGAGGGTTATGCATCTCTCAGGCATCAGAGCTGGCTGCTGTGAAGAAGCAATTGCCAAAAGCGTCCAGGTTGTCTACAGTCTCAGAAACAGGAGCTGTGAAGAGACTGTACAGCGCTGTCATAGTTGAGGCCAATGATCCTGAACATCATGATGATGGAGGTATACAGAATTTGGTGGAGATATCCCTTGTTCCGGAGAGGAGTATGGTGGATTCTTTGCGTAAGAGTCCTGAATCTGAAAATGTTCCAGTGCAAGAACAATTCACTTATGAAGATGCATTGAAACATAAGGCAAGTGAAATAGCAGCAGAAAGTGATGCCCTTTATCAGTCAACTGATGGTTACGAGTACTTGAAAGAAGTGTCTGGCCAGAAAACGACATTGGAGTTGCCACATTCTTCAACTGGAAATTGTACTGATAAAGTGGAACTAGTACGAGATCAGATGGTGCCTTCTGTAAATGAAGCTCCAGCAGCTGCAATTGTAGCAGAGAGGGAGTACGAGCAAGATTTAAATTTTGTGTCTTGCTCCTCGTTTTTTGGTGCTGGAAATAAAGTCATTAATCCTACCTCTAACAGTCCAAGTCTGATAAAACCAGTTTGCAGAAGCAAAACCTTTTTTAAGAAGAAAGTTTTATCTTCTTTCACCAGCCGTCCAAAGCATTCTAATGGTGGAACTGATAGTGATTTGTCTTGTAGCACAAGTGAGTTTCCTCATCAGACACCTGAATGTGCTCAGAGTAATAATCAGAAAGAAGAGGTAGAAGTTAGTTCATCTTCTCTGAAGTCTGGTTTCGCCAAACTAGGTCTGAGCTCAAACAATTGTAACAAAGCAAGAAGTATACTAACACAAGCTGATGAAAGATCAAGGCCAAAGGAAAAGGGGCAGATGTCTCAAAGTTCGAAGAGTAGTATTGGGGATTATAGCAGCACCACGAGCCTTAGTGATGAAAGCTATCTCAGTGGGTCTAGTCGCAGTGGTTACCGGCCTCATATGTCAAAAGATTTGAGATGGGAAGCAATTGTTTGTGTTCAAAAGCAGCATGGAGATATTGGCTTTAGGCATTTTAAACTGCTCAGAAAACTTGGAGGTGGGGATATTGGGAATGTTTATCTGTCTGAGCTATTGGGCACAAAGTGTCTGTTTGCTGTGAAAGTCATGGATAACTACTTCCTGACCAGCAAGAGGAAGATGACGAGAGCTCAGACTGAAATAGAAATTCTTCAAATACTCGATCATCCGTTTCTCCCAACTCTCTTTGCTCATTTTACCAATGACAAATACTCGTGCTTAGTGATGGAATATTGTCCAGGTGGTGATCTGCATGTACTGCGACAAAAACAACCAAGCAATAGTTTCTCTGAACAAGCTGCCAGGTAATTTTTCCTAAATAGTGTACTTATCTTTGAAATTGTTTCTTTTTGCCCAATTCTCAATATGGATTACAAAAATTAAGGTAAATAAATGAGCCAATGAAATAAAAAACATGTTGGAGCCAATATGTTGAGAAAATGTCTATGCTCACAGCCCAAAGGAATCTCATTCCATGTACCACAAAATTACTTATACTGATAGTTTACTGATTGATAGCTTGAATTTTGCTATCACAATTATTTTTATTTAATAGATAAGAACTCCAGTTGTGTTAATGTGCTGTTCTAACCCGTGTTTATAACCTAGCACAAGCAAGAAAGCAAGACAAAATTGGAAACTCATCTATTTTCTTTGAATTTGAAGAGGTTGAAAACTTATAGGAGCGGGGGTTTTACCCTGTGCGCATCCAAATGATAGTAGCTGCGGTTTCCATTGTCATCGATTTTTTTTTTTGAAGAGGAAATTGTTTTTTTTTTAAAAAAAAATCCTCTTTACTACTTTTATAAAATAATGTGCCAATCAAACTATCAAAGTAGCTAGCTTGTGTTACAGCTATTTGTTTTTTCTGCTATTTGACGAAGATATTTGTTAACTTAGGTCTTAGGCCTAACTCACACCCCAAAAGCTAGCTCAAAGGAAGGAGGATTGCTCAAGCCTTATAAAGAGTCCACCCATCTCATTAACCACCGATGTGGGACTTTTGTCATTCTTTAACACCCACCTCACGCCCAGTGCTTAGCATCTGGTGCGTGGGTAATTTTGATTTTGGGGGCCCCAACATCGGGTGAGACGGGCCCTGCTCTGATACCATGATAGAATTTCGAGCTTGAAGCTCTTCTAGACAGAGATGAACAAGGAATTAGAAAGAGAGAAGAAGAGAGAATTTCATATTGATCTGTATAATCGTCTTACTACAATGTGAAGCATTCTCAATGCTTTTATAGACGAATTGTAGAAGCATCTAGAAGGTTCTTAACTAACACACCTAATGCACATGTCAGCCTAACAACTTGTAACAAACTTTTCTCAACAGTGAATTTAATCCAACTGTTTCTGTTAACTAACTAACTGTGACAACACATTCTGCATCTGATCATTTTAACAATATTATTCCCTATAATTTGGATCTCCATACAAATTGTGACTTTGTAAGGGAGGTTAATGAATATACTAAGTTCGAACGAGGGAGTTTCTGCCTCTTTAAAATTTGAAGGGTCAGCGTGGCAGTATTCAGAAACCTCCATGTTCCAACATTGTCTGCTCCTTCCCTTAATGTTTTCACTTTTGTATCTTTACCTTTTTGGTTTTTCCTTTTTTCTTCCTTGAGCATTGGTCTTGTGTGTTTGGCAGAACTCTGAATTTCTGGTAAATGCTGCTTTCAGTAGAAGACGATATCTAGAGATTGCTAAATGACAGGACGTTTGTGTACTATCAGTTGATTCAGTTCAATGTAAAAGGAGGTGGGGGGGGGGGGGGGGGAGGAATTGAAATTGTAGGAAAACAAATGCTGAAGCAGTGTAGTGAATAGATGGAAGTAATGTAAATGAGCTTCCATTTCACTTGCATCCCTTCTTACAACAACACTATATAAAGAGACTTTTCTGGTTAATTAATTTGGGGAGAAATGAGTTGGGATTTGCAACCTTTGTTTCGAGTCTTTCATCTCTTCAGATATTAAGTTTCACATTTTAAGATGAGATATTCAAAGTTAGTCTAAATATTTTAACCTATTGATTTTATTTTATTTTTTTGTGCAGATTTTATGTTGCTGAAGTTCTTCTTGCATTGGAATATCTTCACTTGCTTGGAGTTGTCTACCGGGACTTAAAACCTGAGAATGTGTTGGTCCGAGAAGACGGTCATATCATGCTGTCTGATTTTGATTTATCTCTTAGGTGTGCTGTTAATCCTACCTTGGTGAAATCATCTTCTCCCATCATTGAGCTTCCAAAAAAGTCTAGTCCGTGCTCAGCTAGCTGCATAGATCCCTTCTGCCTACATCCATCGTGGCAAGTATCTTGCTTTGGCCCCAGGTTTCTATCCACAGAAGCAAAGACACGTAAAGTAAAGGCTGACCTAGCTGCACAAGTCTCACCTTTAACGCAACTTGTTGTGGAGCCAACCAACACTCGATCCAACTCATTTGTAGGAACCCACGAGTATCTAGCTCCGGAGATTATCAAAGGTGAAGGTCATGGCAGTGCTGTAGATTGGTGGACCTTTGGAATCTTTCTGTACGAGCTTATATACGGAAGGACTCCTTTCAAAGGGCCAGGAAATGAGGATACACTAGCCAATGTGGTTTCTCAATGTCTCAAGTTTCCAGCTAGTCCTACAGTTAGCTCTCATGCAAGAGACTTAATCAGAAGGTTGCTGCAGAAGGAACCTGAGAATAGGTTAGGAGCTATGAGAGGGGCAGCAGAGATAAAGCAGCATCCGTTCTTCGAGGGACTTAACTGGGCGTTAATTCGATGCTCAACACCTCCAGAAATGCCTAGATCCTATGACTTGACAAATGTTGCTGTCCCTGACGCCAACCGACTAAAGAAGGAACGCGACAAGTGTCAAAATGAGTTGAAAAACATAGGAGAGGATATTGAGTTTCACATGTTTTAGAATACACTAGAGTCTGCAGGTATGAGAAAGGATGGGTTTGGTTTTACATTTTAACACATTGTGTCTGATCTATGCAAACTAATAATAGGCAGTAGTGTAACATATATATAGTGTACATGTTCTACAAAGTGCAACACATGAAGAGCATATAATGTAATCATGTTTTCATAAAATTGTTGACTCTGCTATCATGTATCAAAGATATATATTATGATGTCCAATTGGAATAGAAAAAACTCATGTACAAGCATTAGTGGGCAAACTTATCATGTGACTAGTAACTGTGCTGGTGGGAGGTAGTAGATTCTTCGTGAAATTAGTTGAGATACATACAAGTTGGTTTGAATGCTATGGAAAGCTACGGTTCAGATATGTAATGTAAATTAAACCATATTTGGTACCTTAATATTCAGTTTGATACCAACTTGGGGTTGATTCCACAAATTTTATCCCCAAAAATCATATTTTGATTGTGCTTTCACTGTATTAATTGTACTTAAACTTTTAGATAATTATATAGAAAAAATAGAAAAAGAAAAATTGAATTGCAAAGTGACTCCAAGAAGTAATCAAATTTTTCTATGTGGTCATTAGTCAACCACAATCAACCACTTGTGCCTATGTATTATAAATTTTTAATCCAAATGTTAGTTTGAATAAAATTTTCTATTCATAAATGTGTTTTTCCCCAACAAATTTCTAAATGACAAATATTAAGATTGCAAGATACAATTTTTTTTTAAAAACTATGAAATATAGTTATATTTGGGGTTTTATAACAAATACACAATACACATGTGTGATAATACATGCTTTTTAAATGTTTTCAGCTGATACAATATTTGATACACGTGTGATATAGTTGATATCCATTGCATGAATATAACTTTGCCCCCTCCCTACAATTCTTTCACGTGTTTTCAGCTGATATAATATATGATACAACTGATATATATTTCATACAATTGATACTTACATAATATAACTCTTCCGCCTAATACATAAACGGCAATTATATTTCATACATACGCAAATTGTAGCTATGTTTCGTAATTACATTTCAAATTATACTATTTATGAAATTTTATGATTTTAATTTTTTCACTTTTAAAATGACTTCTCATTTCTCAAATATCTTTTAGCTTTATTCTTGCATTATCAGAAATCAGAACCAACCACCATTGGAGTTTTGAGTGATGAGGTCCTTACTCTTTAGTACAGTGACAATTCCAACCCCTTCAAAATTACCAAACTGCCATCACTCTCACTATGCTGCTCCTCACTCTCTCAAATTCCCATTTCTCACTTCTCTTCTTCCTTCTAAATACCCATTTCTTCTTAAAGAAAGCTATAAAAGTGTAAAAATCAAAGCTTTAATGGAATCAAGAATGGACCCAAGTACAAAACCTTTTTCTGTTCTCTTTGTGTGTCTTGGAAATATATGCAGAAGTCCAGCTGCTGAAGGTGTTTTTACAGATTTGGTTAAGAAAAGGGGGCTTGATTCAAAGTTTAAGATTGATTCTGCTGGTACTATTAATTATCATGAGGTATTTTCACTTGGGGGTCTGTAAAATTTGGAACTTTTTGATTGATTCTGCTGGTAGTATATCATGAGGTATTTCGACTTGGGTGTCTGTAAAATTTGTAATTTAAGATTGAAACAGCTTCTTTACCTTCATAAGGCAGCGTACACACTATCCTTCCCGCACCCCACTTGTGGGATTAAGCTGGGTATGTTGTTGTTGGTACTATTGATTATCATGAGGTATTGCCATTTGGGTGTCTGAAAAATTTGTAAATTTTGATTGATTCTGCTGGTAGGATTGATTATCATGAGGTATTGCCATTTGGGTGTCTGAAAAATTTGTAAATTTTGATTGATTCTGCTTGTAGTATTGATTATCATGAGGTATTTTGGTGTCGGTAAAAGTAGTTTATGATTAATTCTGCTGGTAGTATTGATTATCACGAGATATTTTCACTTGGGGGTCTGTAAAATTTGTAACTTTTTGATTGATTCTGCTGGTAGTATTGATTATCATGAGGTATTTTCACTTGAAGGTCTGTAAAATTTGTTAACTTTTTGATTGATTCTGCTGGTAATATTGATTGTCATGAGGTATTTTCACTTGAGGGTCTGTAAAAATTGTAACTTTTTGATTGATTCTGCTGGAAGTATTGATTATCGTGAGGTATTTTCACTTGAGGGTCTGTAAAATTTATAACTTTTTGATTGATTCTGCTGGTAGTATTGATTATCATGAGGTGTTTTCACTTGAGGGTCTGTAAAATTTGTAACTTTTTGATTGATTCTGCTGGTAGTATTGATAATCATGAGGTATTTTCACTTGAAGGTTTGTAAAATTTGTTAACTTTTTGATTGATTCTGCTGGTAATATTGATTATCATGAGGTATTTTCACATGAGGGTCTGTAAAATTTGTAACTTTTTGATTGATTCTGCTGGAAGTATTGATTATCGTGAGGTATTTTCACTTGAGGGTCTGTAAAATTTATAACTTTTTGATTGATTCTGCTGGTAGTATTGATTATCATGAGGTGTTTTCACTTGAGGGTCTGTAAAATTTGTAACTTTTTGATTGATTCTGCTGATATTATTGATTATCATGAGGTATATCCATTTGGGGCTCTGTAAAATTTGTAATTTAAGATTGAAACAGCCTCTTTACTTTCATTAGGCATGGGAAAGGCTGTGTAAACACTATCCTTCCCAGACCCTACTTGTGGGGATTAATTGTTGTTGTATTCTGCTGGTTCTGTTTATTATCATGAGGTATTGCCATTTGGGTGTCTGTGAAATTTGTAGTTTATGATTGATTCTGCTGGTAGTATTGATTATCATGATTCATGAGGTATTTTCTCTTGGGTGTCTGACAAATTTGTAATTTTGATTAATTCTGCTGGTAGTATTGAATATCATGAGGTATTTCCACTTGGGTGTCTGCAAAATTTGTAAGTTATGATTGGTTTTGCTGGTACTGTTGATTGTCATGAGGTATTTCCACTTGGGTGTTTCTAAAATTTGTAATTTATGATTGATTCTGCTGGTAATATTGATTAATATGGGGTATTTCCACTTGGGAGTCCATAAAATTTGTAGTTTTTGATTGATTTGGCTGGTAGTATTGATTATCATGAGGTATTTCCATTTGAGTGTCTGTAAAATTTGTAGTTTATGATTGATTCTGCTGGTAGTATTGATTATCATGAGGTATTTCCACTTGGGGGTTTGTAAAATTTGTAGTTGATGATTGATTCTGCTGGTAGTATTGATTATCATGTGAGGTATTTCCACTCGGGGGTCTGTAAAATTTGTAGTTTATGATTGATTCTGTTGGTAATATTGATTATCATGAGGTATTTCCATTTGAGTGTCTGTAAAATTTGTAACTTATGATTGATTCTGCTGGTTCTATTAGTTATCATGAGGTATTTTCACTGGGTGTCTGTTAATTTTGTAATTTAAGATTGATTCTGCTTGTAGGTTTGATTATCATGAGGTATTGCCATTGACACTTAGGTGTGTAAAAATTGTAATTTTTTATGGTTTTGGTTATTTCTTGGAGTTGATCATGTTATAATGTTGCTGTTGTTTTTGTTTGTCTTAAAGGGAAATGAAGCTGATCCAAGAATGAGGGCTGCTGCTAAAAGGCGTGGAATTGCGATAACGTCTATATCTAGGCCAATTAGGCCTTCTGATTTCAAAGATTTTGATCTCATTCTTGCTATGGATGAGCAAAACAAATGTGGGTTATTGCACAATCCTTTGTATGGTTTTTTAAACTTTTCTTTCTATTAGGCCCATTTCTTTTTTTTTTAATAAACGTGGTGTCGGGTCTGTTTGTGCATACCCGGACTAATTCCATAGGTACCTGTTACCTTCCACCAACACATATATCTAGTAACTATGTCCACCAAGTTTTGCTTCCACTGAAATTTGAACCCGAGACCTCAAAATTAAGGGTCTATCTTGATTTTCCTACTTTTAAGTTCAGCTCCACAACTTCTTGGTATAATCTTGATGGTTTGAACATATGTACTGTATCAAGAACTGAATTGTTTTATAACTCACAGCTGATATACTTGGGGCTCTGGAGAGGTGGATCCATAGAGAGCCATTGCCAGCTGATGCAGCTGAAAAGGTTTTTGAATCTATAAGTCTTATACTGGTACTGGTTATCAAGTGCAGTTCTTAAGTCTGTTATCCTAAAAGTGCTTTTAACAATCAGGTCCGCTTGATGTGTTCCTATTGTAAGAAGCATGAAGAAACTGAAGTTCCAGACCCTTACTATGGTGGAGCTCAAGGTTTTGAGAAGGTAATGTTTGATAATCTCATAATCGGTTTATCTTGCTACGACATGATAAATAACCCAAAAGCTGCCTGATTTTCACATTTTAGATGGCGGAAGGCTTCTTGCTCCTAGCTATACTGGAGAATCTCAATTCTCACCGTGCTTACTTTGTTAATTTTAATGTTGGGGCATTATGATAGTTATAACATAATAGGTTATGTTCTGTTGGCTTGAATTAAGTAGTTAATTCTCAATACTATGCCATATAATGCCTCAAACTGTCAAACAATACAGAACAATAATGGTTTAAAGACCCAGTGCTATTAATACACAATTGCTAACCACATTTTCATGGAAAGAATGGATAATGAACAGGAGAGATCATTGAGTTTGTCCTCAATACTTCAGAATAATGAAGAAAAAAGTTTAGTTTACGTGTTCTTGGAAATTATGAGCGAGACTTACTCTGCTTAGTTTATATGTTATCTATAATACAGCCTGCTGTCCTTTTCTTATACTAGAAGACTGATCTTGAAAAACTAGTGTCATTTGAAAGGTGCACACAATAGCCACCCTACTCATGCTTACATGCATTAAAGCCCAACTCAATAGAAAGTTATCCAGCTTCTCACCTCATATTTCCTTCCCTCTTAATATCTTAGGCTGCACGGAGAAAAAAAAAGGAATGGTCTCGAGTTATAGCCCTCGTAGCCAACTCTCCCTTCACTTCTTACCTTCTCATTTTTCCATTCTTCGAACTCCCTAACGGTCTAACCCTTTCCAGTCGCTCAATCTCCCTGAAGTCATTTATTAACTCCCTTATCCTGACCTCAACCCTCCCCAACAGGTCCTATGAACTAAGTCCTACACATGAATCCTGATGCTTGTCTTTTCATCAGCCTTAGTTAGCCTTATAGGTATCTTCAAAAAAGTACATAGGACAAAAATAGTCCTAAAATTTAGGCTATCGACAAGGATCGTTTTGGAATATTTGGTTTGGAAAAATCCAAGGAGGTATTTTGGAGAACTTCTGCTAAGTCCTTGAATGTTGTAAGAGAACTTTATATCTAGAAGAAAATTTTATAATTTGAAATTTGGATACCTTTGTAGTTTCCCAAGGTCTTCTCAATAAGCCAAGCACAAATTATCTTTTAATTCCTGTCGAATGATTTCCACAGAAAATGCTAGAAAAGCCCCTTCTTAAAAAAGCAAAAGTTCTTTTACAATGAGAAGAGTTTCTGCAAGAGGTCATTTCTGAAGGTCTTAAAAGACATTATTAATTTACTAAGTTGGTGTTTTGCTGCTACAGTCTATGTGTCAACACTATTCATTTGGATGAGTCATAGTTTGCTTTTGTTCGCCGTTAAACTTGCGGTTGATGCTTACTGCCAGCAACATGCATCTAATTCTCAACTCCACTACATCTTGCTCACAGGTACTAGATATGCTTGAAGATGCTTGTGATTCACTGTTGGAAAGCATTGTGACAGAGAACAAAATTTAGGTTCATAGATTTACTTTTATCACCAGTATTCTTACTGCCAATTAGGCAATTGATAGCCGGTCTGGTTCTAGTCCATGTTATGCACTTATGTGTTTATTGTTTACCTGGCAAGTTAAGCAAAGATCTCTACAAATACAAATTTAAAGGTGAATGATGAACCTTCTTGACATTAGTCCATGTACCTTGTCCTGTTTCCCACCTCCCTCCCTCTTGGCTCTTTCGCGAAAAATATCTCGAAGAAAAAATGATCCACTACCACCTGCCAATTCTGCTGAAGATCTTTGGTCATGAGACATTTTCTTGTGTGGTAGGAAGCAGGAGCAGAGCTAGTGAATCCCTCTTGCTGAAAAAGTAATATTGTGCAAATAGGGTAAAAACTATTTCTTTTGGTTATATATAAGTTGTTCAATCCCCTTGACATGCGGGAAAAATACTAATATGTATATCGCACAGAGATAGTAACTATACAAAGGCTTTTATGTAACAACACAAAGTATGCTTCAATCTTGAGCATTTTGGGAGTCGACTATATGAATCTCCACTGACAATATCATTCCATTTGAGCTCATCTCAGGTCAATAGTACACACTAAGGCTTAAGTAACAAAAAGAAAACTATCATATGATGAAAGACTGTTTAACTCCTTTTCGTGAACGTTTTCGTCTTGGGTTTGAACTCAGTATGCTTGAAAAAGCACTTAGAAGTTCTGTATCCTCCACATTGATTACCATCTTTGCAGCCTCTGGATTGGCAATAAGCAGCTTTGCCACTAGATATCCTGCAATAGTCCAAGTCTGAAAGAGACGTGCCTGTTTCCCGATGAACCCTCCTCGCCTTGTATCGTAGTATTCAGGCCACCTGTCTCTGGATAAGCGTCTTTCCGCGATCTTAATTGCTTTTTCAGCAATTTCAGGCCTCTTCATTTTTATGCATGCCACAGTCAGCTGAAAACAGTTCACATTTAAAATAATCAACTCATCTCTTCTGCTGCCAATGGATCTCTTCACATGTTCGATTCTAATCTATGTTAGAACATTTCCGTGAATGCACATACGAGATGACATTATTTAACCAGATTTATATACTTCTAATTGGCGTTGTTCGTACGTTACATCTAACACATCGATAACTCATCTATTGCACAAAACTAAAGATAATGACTTCAGTGACGAAAGATACATTTCAAGATAATCCAAAAGGACATGAAATCAATAAAATGAGGAGAGTACATAAAGTACAACCTGGTTGTTGTTACTATAGTTTGATGCTTATTCGATCTTATCATCTATGGGATTTATCGCAAGATCATTGATCACTCTATCTGCTGCTAAAGACATCTTGAAACTTAAACCTTTAACAAATAGACCAGACACTTTCTACACCAAATTTTAAAATTTCCTTCTAACACAATGCAGTATATCAAGCTTGTGAATGTCATGCTTGTACATTTGTGGCTGAAATTCATATTAGTCACTTTGTAAATCGGAATCAATTGACAGAACACACGCTGAAGAAGTGTTTAAGATGTGGACATGAGTTTTCGATCTGGAGTTTTTATGCATTTCAACCCTATAGATTTTAATGTTGGCGTCACTCCTCTAGATCACCTCCAATATTTTAAAAGGTGAAGCTAAGACTCATCTCCAGGCTCACTCGATCGTGACACCATGCTCTAAATGCCACTAAACAGTTAACAGTCACCACAAAACTCTATGCTGTTAATGCCTCAACATGTTTCGTGCATGGGGAGATCTGCTCCATGCACCTGCGCCAATTTTCCGTCTTAAAAACTTTTTTTATTAGATATTTGAACACACACACAAATTATACTTATACTATACAAACATGCATTTTTTTTGAATGGTAACATATATACAGTTACATGCATATTTATACACATACGAAAAACATATGTATTTTATACATACATACATACATACATACATACATACATGTGTGTGTGTGTGTGTGTGTGTGTGATACAGTTGTATGCAATCAGATTCAGATGAAGCTATACGTGCCGAAAGCATGGATCAGAGGTGTGCATACTGAATAACGGAAACGTACCTGCCAGAGCAACGTTGGCCAGGATCCTCCATTATGGTAAGACCAAGGCCTGCACCAAGTATTCAAAAACATCAGCGAGGTAAATTACGATGAAGATAAAAAACAATATACACATTACCAGAAGAAAATAGAAAAAAAAGATGAAGGCAGTACGTGTTTTTCGGATCACCACCAGTAATAATGCGCCATTCCTGGCCCTCAAGAGCAGGATAACATATCTTCAGTGGCATATCAGCTACTAAGTCCTCCCATTTGGCTTCAATAAGATCTAAAATGGCATGTGACTGATCTATGTTAGCAAGACTGCTTACGATGGACCAAACGTTCCCAAGTGAAAAGAACCGGAAATCCATGTGAGCTGGCTGCAGGTTTCCTATAAGATAACCCCCTTCACTAGGCATCCATTCCACCAGCCAGGGAGGAATTTGATCTGGATATATATTAAACTTATTGATTGCATCGTATGAATATTCCTCCGTTTTGTATCTATAAATCTCGTTCAATTTTTTCACATCGATCCAGTAGTATTCCCTAATATGAAATGACAATGCTAGCAAACGATTGTTAAGTGCCCTAACAAGGTCTGTTGATGCCTCCTCTGGAGCAAGCATCTCCCGTGCACCAAGTAAAGCCGAATAATATAACGCCTGCAAAGCATGAAATGTCATGTGCATAATTATGCATAGTCTTTTTGGAAGAAAAGAAGAGAGACAAATGATGGAATGAAAAAAAAGATTTTGTAATATGTAGTTAGCGTATGGATAACCAATAGACATTCTGTAGTTACAGCAAGACAACCTATCACGCTATATTGGCTATACAAAAAAAAAAAAGAGTTTCCTGAATGCTCTCCTTATTAGTTCTATGGTTTCTTCACTGTCGTTTTTCCTTTTCATAACTACTTTGATTTGCTGCACTTGAGCCAAGGATCCTTCGGAAACAGTCTCTCTACCTCCACAAGGTAGGGATAAGGTCTGGGTACTCTACCCTCCCCAAACTCCAGTTGTGGGATTTCACTGAGTATGTAGTGGTTGTTAATATGATTAGCATAGAACCTACCGTGAATATCTTAACATGAATAATTTCACCTTTCCATCTGTCTTATTTGTTAATAAGGAGTTGCACTTGGTATGTATTCTGGTGATAAACTTAAACTCTTTGCTGAGATCATTCAAATGATGGTCCGCTCGACAGTGAGTATCTTTACCCGAAGAGAGGATAAGGAGAAGAAGAAGGCTTCCTCGACAAGATGATATAAGAGAAGAAGCGTAAAACTCAGGCATCCGCTCAATGGGAAAGTAAAATTAATAAATGAAGAAAAAATGACAAGCTTGTTGCAGACAGGAAAAAGAAAAGACCTGAATTTCCAGAGGGTGGCCATGGATTCCCATGCGACGATCTATCATGCAAGAACCGTCAGTCACCAGCAAAGTGGGAAACATATCAAAGCCATCTGCAAGACATAGCCTGAGTATCATCTTCATTCCAGTTTGGACATCAACCCTCTCCTGAAGAGAAAGATCTCCAGAGCATTTCCCATATGCTCGCAACAATATAATCCACCATAATCCTGGAATCAATTCATGGAGTCACACATCATCAGACATACACCAAATTTGCTATACAAAAGACATGCATCAAAAGTTATCAAAGATCACCTGAATCCACAGGTGCGACTCGACCAATTGCTGCCTCGCCGAAGTCTGGATCCAGTACATCTTCTGTTGCAGATTCGTCATTATCAAGTGGAATTGTACGCACTTTGAAGCTGGCAGGCATAAGTCCTTGACCTGGACTATAGCAATCCATTGTTTTCTCCCAACTCTGTTTGGAATAGAAGAAGATGCTTAACAGGCAAAAAACTAATGGAAGCGAAAACTTTTTCAACTTCACAGAGTTAAGAAAAGTGAATCTCATGAATGAGTTTACATGAGTCAAATATTTTATTTATTTATTTTGAAAACTGTGGTGTCCGGATCAGTTTTCTCAACTAATTCCACGGGATACCTCTCCCTCCCACCACCAACAAGTACCAGGTAACTCTGTCCACCAAGGCTAGGAAGACGGGAAGAAACTATGCATCAAATATCATTGTTTTACTCATTGTACTGGAGAACTACTTCTAATGGTAACCTAAGGTTCAAAAAGAGCCATCTCTCACAGGTAACCAGGAAAGAGCTAAGAAAGTTAACTTGTGCATACCAGGGGTTAGCAGAGCGGCAGATATTACAAATAATTGCTCAATTGGAGGGAAATCTGCCAGCGGAGACTTTGTGTATCTTCTATAATAATAATAAGGGGGGTATTTTGGGGATCATAACGAGCCAAAATTGTTATTATAAACACAAGCATATGATGCTATTGAAAGGAATCAAATTACATGCTGAATCACCTTCACAAGTAAATAGAACAAAGTTCTGTGCATTACAACAACAAAGACAACAACATACCCAGTGAAATCACACAGGTGGGATTTGGGGAGGGTAGAGTGTACGCAGACCTTACCCAGTGAAATCCCAAAGTTATGTGCATTACAACAGACATGAATTTCAATATGAAAGCAATCAAGCTGAACACAGAACATAGTAGTTGTTTGAGATAACTTGAGTCATTTTACCTGCAACTGAAGCGTGTGAAGTATAAAGTTCCTCACGATATCATATTCTCCTTTTAGAAGGAATGCTATCCCAGAAGGTATAAAATCACGTATAAATACTTGATCATAGTTTAGCATAGTTGCTTCACTTGGATCATTAGCAGCTATAGTTCCAACTGGGCTGCCACAGTAATAAACCATGGCAGCTCGCAAAAAATGCCACGCTTCATCCTCAATAGACTCCGTGTTAGTTCTAGGCCTACTATTAACTGAGGCAGCAGTTTTAAAACCTTCACTGAAAGGCCTAGCTCCATTTTCCTGCTTCATGTTCTGTTCATCTGGAGTAAGATTTGGAATCTTTGGAGGCACAGTGTGCATCGACTTTCCATTTCCACCTTTAATGATTGTCTCACTGACTCTTTCAGGTTGTTGGCAATTGCAGATCGATAAATTGGACCGATTATGAATCTTTTCACCCCGGAAAACACTATGTAAGCCACGAAAAGCATGTAAACTCGAGCAATCTTGCAGCTTTTTTAAACCCTTTATCTGCTTATACCTCCAGTCCCCGCAATTTCTAGCTTTAAAACAACGTTCATAGCAAAGTAAAGAGTTTGACTTCGCCAAGATTGAACTTGTTCGGACTTGACATGAAAGCTTACCGGATAAAAGTTGTAGGGCAGCTTCTGAAGCCCCCATTGTCAGTAAGTATCTGAAATTGATGATACCTTCAACTTTGCAGCTATTGTAATAATTTCTGGATTTAATCAACACATTTACATGAAATAACATAGTTTAATACAGAAAAAAGGACAATCTTTAACATGAACCAGCAGTTCTTGAAATAGGCAAGTACAAGAATTGAATAAGCTGAACAGACATAACCCAAATTATTGCAGCCACAACAGTTACTTTTTTTCTAAATAAACTCAGAGTGACAACAGCAAATGGTCATCATCATCCCTTAATAAGAAGGCCCTTTTTAATGGACAATTCAGCAAAATGATGGAGAAAACAGGAACCATAGTATCAGTTTAGAAACCAAGAAGAGCTTCAATAATCATAAGAAAAGATCCCACCTTTCTCAAAAATCTCAACTTTTCAAAACAAAGAGATATTCACTGAGCTACCTACATAGGGTCATTATCCCTTAACAAGAAGACCCTTTTCATAAACTGGAAACCAAGAAAGCTTCAACAAGGCATAAGAAAACCCCCCATCTTTCTCAAAGATCTTAACGTTGCAAAACAAAGAGATATTCACTGAGCTAACTACAAAGGGTTATCAATCATCATCCCTTAACAAGAAGACCCTTTCCAATGGACATTTCAGTAAAATGATGGAGAAAACTGGAAACCAAGAAAAGCTTAATAAGACATAAGAAAAGGCCCCATCTTTCTCAAAGATCTTAACTTTTCAAAACAAAGAGATATTCACTGAGCTAACTACAAAGGGCCATCAATCATCATCCCTTAACAAGAAGACCCTTTTCAATTGAACATTTCAGCAAAATGATTGAGAAAAGTGGAACCATATTATCAGTTTATAGACCAAGAAAACTTCAAAAAAGAGCACATCTTTCTCAAAGATCTTAACTTTGAAACAAAGAAAGATTCTTGAGGAAGGGAAAAGAAGAAGAGAGCACTAACACAAAGATATATGTGGTGACAAGAAAAAGGGGTTATTGAATTGCTTACCTAGTTTACAAGATTGGAATACAATTTGTGAAGAAGTTTACTTTATTGTTACTGATTTAAAGGTAAAATCTTGCAGAAAAATAACTTGGGGCTTTTTATGAATTTTCTGGGGAAATTCTTGAAACTTTTGTTGTTCTTTACAGTGACAACTAGGGGACACGTTTAACCATTTACCTCACTACAGATTCATGTTTAAAGATTTTTTTATTGTAGTGATATAACTAATCATCGTGGTATTTGACTAAACATGAATTTTATAAATTGTAAAATGAAAGAATGAACTTGTCCAATTATTACTTATCTCTATCTTGAGGATTGAATTTGACACTAGTAAAAATTATGGCGGAATGATAAGATCTCCTTTATTCTTATTGATAAGAGATTTTGAGTTCAAAACAACTATCATTGTTAGAAACAATTAACCTCCTAATGATGAGTTGGTTAAGAAAAAGAACAAAAAGGATGAAAAAAATTTAAAATTATATTATTTCTAAATAAGAAAAAAATATATGACTTTTTGGGGAATAAATTAAAAAGAAAATAGTAAAAATATTTAAATGTCTTACACCACAAATAAATTTTAACATGTAATAACAGAGTATCATTAATGTATGTTATATATCATAAATTTACCGAGAAAATGGTCTAAAACCCACCTCAATCTATACCCGAAATTCCAACTACACACTCCAACTTCACGGGTGTCCTATTACCCCTGAACTTCATATTTCTCTATTTTCAACACACTTAAACACTGACCTGTCATAGGAGGTGAAAACACCTCCTATAGGGGCGTTAGAAGGTGAGACCACCTTAAAATTTGACGAAAATTTTCTTTTTCTCCGGCGGTCATCTTCCCGACCATTAAATAAACCATTGTTTCTTCTTCCCCACCATTAACCTTTATTCGTTTTATAAAAAAATCACAATTTTCTCTCAAAAATAAGTAGGGTTTAGTTGTTTATGTTCATTTCTACTTCAAATCTTGAATTTAGGGTTTGTAATCTGCTTTTATTTCTTATTTAGGTCTCTAATTTGAATTTTGAATTTTCTCAAAATTCATCAAAAATGGCAAATGAAAACTTGAATAAGCTTTGTATGGATGAATCAGACCCAATGTTGTTCTTAATTTCACGAATCAACAGAAACCTTAAGGGATAAAGCAAAAACTCGAAATAAGGGATAAAAAACTAACGTTTTACTAAATCAGTTGATAAACTACGAAATCAAGTTGAAAATACACAGTAAAATCCTTCAATCATCAACAATAATGCATATGCAAATGGAGAAGGAGATGAAAAGGAGAAAGAATATTTTTTTTGGGTCTTTTACGTTTTAGGAGGGAAATGGGGGAAAAACAGGAATTGGGCTTGAAGAAGTGGGGGACCCGGCGCGTGCAATCACGTTGAAATATTTGTTTGATTTATGTGTTGAGGTCAGAGTTTAAATGGGTAGAAAATAGAGAAATATGAAGTTCAGGGGGTAATAGGACACCCGTGAAGTTGGAGTGTGTAGTTGAGATTTCGGGTATAAATTGGACGTGTTTTAGACCATTTTCTCTAAGTTTACCTACAATTACTTTAATAAGTTATTTGATTAAAAAAAGTACTTTTCTATATAACACAAGAATTGAAAAAAATGAATTAATGAGAATTACATCATTGTTGCAAATTGGCAATGTTTTTTCTGTGGACCATACAATTATTTGATTTATGCGTATTATTTCTTCCACAAAGATCATGCTAATTTTTTTTTTTTTTTTTGTATTATTCTAATTTTATCGTACGTCTCTATAGGGGAAACAATTAATTATTTGATAGCCGAATTATACGTCGACTAGTGATAGGATTCATGATAAGAAGATGATGCAAGGAATAAGAAAAAGAGATGTTTGTAAGGTGTTATTCAAAGTGCCAAGATTTAATTTGAAGCTCAATTAATTTAAATTTTTACATTTTTTATTAAAAGAGAATTATCTTTATGACTTAAACTTAAAATTTATTCGGAACTTGAATTTTCAATCCTGCTTGTTTTATGGACAAACTTTCAAACTTAACAATTTTTTTCATTTATCCTTGTAAGTTCAAGAGTACAAAAATTCAAGTCCATCTATTTTCATTTTTCAAGATCATAGGATGTAATTTTCTAAAATATGATAAACCTAATAGTTAATCAAAATTTATAATTTTCACGGCTGAATCCTTTAAAATAAATGTCTTACATATTAAATATTTTAAAAAATTTAAATCAAAACTACTTGATTGCTCGATATACCATTCTTTTGAAAGAAAGAAATACCTTTGAGAATATGGACACATGTCTGCATGACTGTCATCTGCTCGTGCTATACGGTATTGGATTAAGTTTCGAATCCTCACTTTATTCATACATATAAAAAAAATTGCCGCACTCGAAAAATAAAATAAAAAACATAAAACATAAAAAAATAAAAATATAAAAAACTCCAAAACGATATCATTTTGTAGAGTCACCTATTTTATCACCCGGTGGGTACAGCTAGTCGGGTTCGCAAAGCGACGCCCGGAAACCACGGTAAAAAAAAAAAAAAAACCTATTCTATCAAGTGTAACCTCTCAAACCTGAAAAAAGTTGAAAGCTTTGTTGTCAATGGCGCGAGGCTTCTTGATTTCTACACAAACCAAAAATTCTTCACATTTTCTCCTAAATTCCATCTCTGAAACTTCAAGATTAACTAAATTACTCTATTACCCTTCTTCATCATCTCTCCGTTTCTCTCTTTCACCTCCTCCTTTTCCTCCTCGGTTTCTGTGCAGTTGTTGCAGTCACCTCCAAGAAAATGGCACAATTGACATGTCAGTACACTCAGAGGCATTTGCTAAGCGTATGGCTATGGTGGGTCTCAAACCCCATCATCGTATTGGTCAGTTTTACCCCTCCATTGTATTTTTTTTTTTAATTTTGTGGGTACAAAGAAAGAAGAGTTGAAAGTGAGAAAAAGATTGCAGTTTTATAGTACAGTCGTTTATCCGGATAATTTTTTAGCTGTTATAGTGAAATGCTGATACTTGCATCTTTATGGAGAATTTAATTTCACCAGGTCCATGTTGTAGATATGGTATAAGATGAAATAATTGGTTTAGATATATGTTACGTGAGCCGAGGGTCTATTGGAAACAACCTCTCTACCTTCATAAGGTAGGGGTAAGGCTGTGTGTGCATACCACCCTTTTTCAGACTCCACTTGTGAGATTATACTGAGAACGTTGTTGTTGAAAATATTGGTTTAGAAAAAGACTTGGTGTTATAATGAAATATTGTTTTAGAGTATGACGGTTATAGAGCCTTTTTTATGACGGTTACAGAGCCTTTTTTTCATCGATTTGAAAATTGCTTTGCATGAGTTAAAAATCTTAATATCATGAGAAACTATTTACATGTTTCATGGGATGATTAGTACTACTCCATTCTTAACCAGAATTTTTTGATTCGAGTTTGGGGAATGGAGCAGTCTTTAACCGGGAGCTTTTTACCCCAAGTGGATAAAAGATTGCAACTTTGTAGTACCCTTTTCCATCCATTTGTATATTGGTTTGCTTAACTTAAAAATCTCAATATCATGAGAAATTGTTTCATGTGTTCCATGGGATGATAGGTACCCTTCCATTTTTAGCCAGAAGCTTCAGGTTTGATATTTGTGAATGGAGTCCCCTTCAAGAAGGATCTCTTTATCCGAAAGTGGATAAAAGGTTGCAGCTTTCTAGTGCCTTTTCGTCCATTTTGTTATTGATTTGCCTGACTTAAAAATCTGAAAAGCATGAGTTTTTGTTTTATGGGTTTACAATTTTCTTGTTATGTAATGTAGCTTATAAAGAATCGCCCAAGGAAGAAAATTACAGCTGTATGATTTATTTTTCTCTTTGATAGGTAGGTTCTCCAGATGAAAAATATCAAATCCAAGTAAATTTTTCATGTTTGGCTATTCTCTGCTTTAACGACTATTAGATAAAAATATCAAATTCCACGTAAATTTTTTCATGGAAATGTAGTTTTTATGGTGACCATGGAAATGAGCTTTCTTCTTAACCTTTTTTTGTAGTTCTGGGCGTTTCTGGTGGCCCTGATAGCATGGCCCTCTGTGTCTTAACTGCTGCATGGAAAACCAATAACCTTGGTAATGCTGCTCAAAAGAATGAGTTTGTTGACGGGCTTTTAGCAGTGGTAGTTGATCATGGACTTCGTGCTGAGAGTAAAGATGAGGCTCACCTTGTTCATCGCCGAGTCACAAGCATGGGTATATATTCCTTTTAACTTTTTCTTTGTCATGAATGTAGCAACATTGCTTAACACCTTTTTAATAGAGATATAATGTAGGCCTTGTATAGGAATCGAATGTGAGATTGCTTGCTGTGAATGGTCAGAAGGCAAGCCAAAGCAGGGTCACTTGCAAGAAGCAGCTCGCCAGAAGAGGTCATTACCAGAGTTTCAAATTATCTTCAGCGAAATGCTATTTCTGAGCCTTGTCATATCTGGTCATGCTGGTTTTTGACCGACTATATGTTATACATTTATCCTGATGTTAATAATGTCGTCATTATTGTGAGTAAATAAGTTGTTCCTCGTCATTTATTCAGGTATGAAATTCTCCAAAGTGCTTGCATCCGGCATCAGATTGGTGTGTTGATGACTGCACACCATGCAGATGACCAGGTATTGTCATAATAGCATCTACTCTGTGGATTTTTGTATTTTATGACTCTAAAAAATTAGCACTTATCAGATGGCAATCTGTTTAGCTTTTGTCAATACATTAAAAAGAGCTAATGGTATTTGAATGCAATTGATGTTGCCTCATGCAAATGTAAGTTGAATATTATTGCTTTTGACACCATAGTTGATAGTTTTAGCAATTGCTAATAGGATTACTCTACAGGCAGAACTATTCATTCTCAGGTTATCTCGCAATAGTGGCGTGCTTGGACTCGCTGGAATGGCATTTGTTTCAGAGCTGTTTTCTACATGCCCAGATTTAAGTGCTGAAGCGAGTAGCAATGGACTTTTATTGGTGAGACCTCTCCTGGAGTTACCTAAAGAAGATATGTACAAGGTTTGTTTTTTACAGTTTGTCTGTTTGGAAGATTTTCGTAGTAGCCTTTGAACCAGAATGACTTCGTCTATCTGTAAGTAGAGTGCTCACGGTAATGTTTCATCAGGATCTTAAATGATTAAACTACGGCTGCAGATTTTGCTAAAAAGATTCAGATGGTTATTCCTTTTCCTAGTTCATTGGAAGCTTCTAAAGTTGCATTACCTTGTATTGCAGATATGTCTAGCTGCCAATCAAGAATGGGTTGAAGATCCCACAAACAGAAGTGCATTATTTGCTCGTAATAGAATTCGGATGATATTGACTGACTTGGCATCACGTGAGTAGATTTTCGTGCATTTGACTTAATTATGCATCTAGTGTTTTGGAGGAACCTTGTTAACGGAACGTCGGAACCTGTATTTACCGTATCTTGATCATATATATTTTTTCCTGCAGCTATCTTCAGATCCGAGTTGCAAGCACTTATCGCTGCTTGTCGGAGAACAAGGTTGCATGTTGACAAAATTTGTTCCAACCTGATGCATCAAGCTGTGACTATCATGCCTGTGAGTTCTACAGTTTGGTTGGGAATGCATTCTAACCAAAGATCCATTGTTCCATTAGTGATACTTGATAGCCTTCAGAACAGGTGTACTACATGTTTGACAAAATGACATCTATCTGCATTTGCTTTCAATCATGCCTTTTCTTGGGGGGTGTATTGGTCGTCAATTTGCAGTTTAGCACCCTTTTCCTTGCATTTAGTTGACAGTTCAGTACCTGTCTAGAACAGAATCAGTAACATTTTAATTCAACCTTATTTTTTGTATTCCCACGCCAAAATGAAGCTTGTCTCTATTTGGAATGGGGGACATTGGTAATTTTTTGTTCTTTCTTTGAACTTATGGGTTAGTCATAGTTACCAATTTGAAAATGTTACTACTCACCCACAATGGGATAGCTGAATGCATGTCCTAGAGCATTTTAGAAGTCATAGTTCTAGCCTTCTAGGCATGTTCCTTGCATTCCCATTGTTTGAGTATTTGCACTTTCTTATTGTCAGAATGTGAGTGATTAAGATCCAATCATTAAACAGCTGACATTCAATGAAGTATTACTGAAAAAAAATTAATGGATATAGATGAACTAATCATTTGGAAGAAAAACTTGGAAAGGAATCCTTCAATGACTACTGGTACTGTTGGTAGAGGTATTTTGACTAGAACTTATCCGTGTAATATTTCCTTAGTGATGATTTTCATCTGGAGAAGAAAAACACTACGTATATCTGTACCTTATCTTAGCCTGATGTTCCTGCTCTCTCTTATTCTCTCTCTCCCCTTAATTTTTTTTCTTCTGGAAAGCAGGAAGGGTATGCGGTGATTGATTTAGGAATCCTCGGTCCTTCAGAATTAAAGGACATAGTCCTCTCCAAGTTTATTGCTTTGTTATTGCAGGTATTGCCACTTTTAGCTTTTCATGTAGGCATAACACATAAACAAACACTCAAACTTGGCCTCAGCTGGAAAGTAAACACTCCAACTTTGGGAATGAACATCTAGACACCTCATCTTCACTGTGTAAGTTGAACACTCCAACTTACAAAATGATCATCTAGACACCTCCGAAATTTATGTGCCACGTCAGCGTCGGGTGTCAATGAGACACACTGGGAACGAGTTGGAGTGCTTAGTTGTCAGTTGAGACCAAGTTGAGGTGTCTCGATGTGCACTCTCAAAGTTTAAGTGCTTACTTGCCAGCGGAGGCCAAGTTTAAGTGTCTATTTATGTATTATGCCAATAATCAATTTTTTTCCCAGGCAAAGTATTTTGTTGTAGAAGGCTTTTCTTGACTAGTATCTAATGATAGATACTTACTCATCCTCTTGTTTTCTGTAAAAGTTTGTTTCACAAAAGCAAAGGCCAGTCAGAGGCAGTGCATCAAAGTTGTTATTAGACTACATTCGGACTTCCCCATGCAAGGTGAATATAGTCCAATTTAACTCGACCTTTGCACACAAATGGTATAAACTTTTGTGGGCAAGAGATTCCTTTCTTTTGATATTAGATTGATGATTTTCAATAACACATTGTCGAATGTATATCACTTATGGCACCTGCAGACTGCTGCTACTGCATCCGGTTGTTACCTTTGTCCTGCTCCTGGCTCCAAAGGCACTAAAGTATTGATTTCCTGCTCTACTGATGCTGAGTTGACACTAGAGTTGCTAAATCCATACTCGACCGAAGGATATAACAGCACTATTTCGAAAGAGGTAGAGCAAATTGTAGCAAATGGGAGGTCATACTCAGATCAGTGCCCTCAAAGTATGCTTGGAGTGCAATTTTTGAACCTAGCATCTTCTGATTCCGTTTTAGCTGAAGCCAAAAGGGAAGGCATTCTTAGTGAATCTACCTACAAGAGCATTATTTCTCTGCGGAGAGCGGAAAGCAATAATTTCAAGTCCAAAACTAATATTGCGCTAAAAAACAAGGTGGAACACAAAGTAGAATACACAGCTTCTGCTCCAAGCGAAGTACTCCATCCTGAAAAAGTTGGGTACTTCATGAACAGATTTATAGTGAAGTGGTATCTGTGCAAGCAAAATGCTTACACTTCATATTTCATGATTAATTCTAATCAACTCCAAGATTTTGGAGAAGAAATATGTAACTTTTGCAATTCTTGTGTCCTTGGCCATGATCAAATGGTCAGGGTCCGTTACATGATTGATGCTGATTGGTTGTACCTAGCAACGTTATCAAAAAGAGAGGATAGAAGCATTGTTCATGAAGAATGTTCCCTTTCAGTGGAGTCACGAGTAATGAGCAACATAAACTTGTGTTCTACTTGTACAAAAAAATCAGCTGAAAGAGCTCTCCTCTTATTGAAGTCCATTCCTGTCGCTGCAAGAAGAGCTTTACCTGTCTTGGTCAATGTGGATGGAGTGTTGCTAAGCATACCAGTAAGTCGATGTCTGTTTTTATGTCTGTGTTTGTGATACTAATCTGATACGTAGTATTTTTCCTACAGCTAACGACCCTCCCTGATACAGCTTTTCTTCATCATTTATGCTATTTAGCCTAAATCTTGAGGCTTTTATTGCCAGCTCATCATTATATGAACCTGATAAACGAAGGGGCTGTTTCAACGACTAACAAGTTACTCAATTGGTTTAGTTTCCTTCAGAGACTGGTGAAAAGCAGTTTAGGCCAAGATTTCTGGTTGATCCAAGGGGATTAGACCAAAGTGGAGATATTTTCTTTTTGAACCCTGCTAAAATATCTAGGCTGTTCTGTTCTGGCCTTCAGAAAATGAAGGGCCATTCTAGAAAGATTGGAAATGGCTCATATGTAGCTGTTCTGTTCTCATAGTGTGCCTTGTCTCAGGCACTGATCCTCTACTTTGTGCTTCTAACATCCACCTATAACCCAACCAATGTTCTATTGCTGTTTCTTTTCCTTTACTGCATCGCTGAACATATACAGAAGGCATGGTAGCACAAAACTTCCTGGTTATAACTAACTACTGACCAGTAACTTGATCTTTCTCCTCTTCTACTTACTTACCGAACACCAAAAATAAGCAAGAAAATTACTTATTTTCCACCAGGAAAACATTTTCCTTTCATATCAAACACACCAAAATGTAGGTTTACTATTTCCGAGGGCATTAATAGTGTAAACAACTATCCCTGAAAATTTGGTTCTTGTGTTCAAACGTTCCATGCTGGTTTTGATGTGTCAATTTCTGTTTCACTCTCCCAGTTTCTTCTTCTCATCTCAGTGGATTCGCTGATAGCCTGTACTAATTTATTTCTTTTGCTTCTTCTCAGAGTGTGGGTTTCCAGCACTGTCCTTGCTTGGTGGCATCCGCTATATTTAAGCCAAAAGTCCCACTCGGTGGAGGTTACAATTCATTCCTCTAGCTGGTTTACAATGTGAACTTGTTCATGTATCATTATTAGTTGAGCTGGTGTTCTGATGTTTCCGAAGAGGGGGGAAATCTCTGCTGGATGGAGGTTATAATATATTCCTCTGGTTGGTTTACAATGTCAACTTGGTTCATGTACCATTATAAGTCTAGCTGGCCCTCCAAAGTTACCAGAGGGGAAAAAACCTCTGCTGGATGGAGATTACGATTCATTCCTCTAGTTGGTTTACAATGTCAACTTGGTTCATGTACCATTATAAGTCTGTCTGGCACTCCGGAGTTAACAAAGGGGGAAAAAATCTCTGCAGGATGGATGTTACAATTCATTCATCTAGTTGATTCACAATGTGAACTTGTTCCTTGTATCATTATTGGTTTAGTTGGCCTTCTAATGTTACCAGAGGGGTAAAAGTCTCTTCTGGATGGACGTTAGTATTCATTTTTCGAGTTGGTTTACAATGTAAACAATGTCAATTTGATCCATGTACCATTATTAGTCTAGCTGGCTCTCCGTAATAACCAGAGGGGACAAAATCTCTGCTAGATCGATGTTATAATTTATTCCTCTAGTTGGTTACAATGTGTTGCTGGCTGATGTTATTTAAGGGGAAAAAATCTCTGGTGGATAGAGGATACAATTCATTCCTCTAGTTAGTTTACAATGTTAACATGGTTCATTTATCATTATTAATGTAGGTTTCTGGGTAATTTCTTGTATATTAACCGCACTAAGTAGAGATGGAAAAAACTGCAGACCATGAAGCCATAAAAGTAGTTTATATTCACAGATCACAACTTGCCGCCCCAAACACAGTTTACCTAAGTTCAAGACAGCCTTTAAAATGGAGGTAAAACATATGCCTCCATTGACGATCTAGACCCAACAAAACTAAAGCTGCAACTCTACGGTAAGAATCCCATCACATCCAATGTATTTTACCTCAGGGTGAATTTAAATGCAATAAGCTAATTGTACATTGCATTTTCTATAGTAGCCAAGAGAATATACATTTACACAAAACTAACTACATTGACCGCGTTTAGGCGTCATCAGTGTGGTTATCATTGTCATGGTCGCCTTCATAATACTCATCGTCACGTTGGATATGCTTATCTTGGGTATGCTCTGTGAATTCAACACAGGGTAACAGAAAGAAAGCAAAATCAGAGTTAGATCACTGTAGTTCCACATTTGAGCATGTTGTGTGCTTATTATAGTCAGATTTCTACTTACGATTCACACGCTCATCTGGATTTTGTTCATCTTCATCAAAATCAGGAATATAAAAGTCAGGTGGTACCTAAAAAAATATGAAAATTTTCAGACTCCCAAGTCACTATCTTCCCCAGATACACCTTACCTTCAGGCACCAATCACAATCATGGCTAGATGCATTAAATGCACTTCTAATGACGGTTACGACACATCGAAAATGCAGGTTGCTCTTTTTATGCATTGGAGAAGAATCTCACAATGGTAAATGTACTGAATGATTGTAGCATGTGTAGAAAGCTGAAACTGCATTTTACATACTTGTGTATTTTCAAAATCAACATAAAGCGTCAAAGAAGCAATCACTTAAAGGAGCAAAGCGCATCACAAATGCAGTTCTTAAGCAATCCGAGTACATATAAACATATAACATAGCATGCAATTATGTACATATAGCTTGTATGTGTGTTCTTGATTACTTGGCAATAAAAACTCCAAAAGATACTTACCTCTTGCATCTGTACACTTGGAGCATGCTGGAGGCAACGGAGATTTTCCATCACTTGCATTTTTATGGTGCCAATGTATGATTTGCTATTCAGGTTCTCCTGTTCAATCAATGAAACAGGTGATTAGAGCAAGATCACGATGCCAATTTGTTATTTTTATTTGAAAATGCTTATTGAAACATGACATCACTGGATCAAGCAATCGGTCATCTTATGGATGTAACATTATAAATATCAACAAAATTTTGAGGAAAAGGACTCCACACCTTGAGTGACTAAGATGATGACATGCAGGTAGGTAAAGCAAAGCAACAAAACGATTCAACTTACTATGTGTCCACCTGGAAGCTTCAGTGAATAATCAGGGGCAAAATATTTGATGTAATCATTGTCTGGTATTTCTGCAATTATTTATAAATTAATTGTGTGAAATAAAATTATTTCTAAAAAATTAAACCATTAAGCTCATTTAAATAACATCATATAAGCAGATAACTTGAACTTCTTACTAGAAAATGTGAACCATGAAGCAAATTTCAGATAACAACATTATAGCTGATCTTTTCTTTTTCCAAGTTAAAATCGATTGTTTAAACAGCTCAAAAAGTTCAAAAGGAGGAGTCAAATTCCAAGAACTTCAGCTTCCATATAAACCTTGCAAAGTTATTATCTAGCCATGCCTTCGACCAAAATCACCTAATATTAACGTGAACAGTTGAAACTAACACATTTTCTATTTAGTTACCCACTTAGAATATCTTAATACCAACAACAAAAAAAGAGCAGTTACATACTACAAAATGGAAGAGGGAAGAGTAAATACAAAACTGTCGCACTTAGGCAACTGGGCCAGATACCAAAAACTCAAATACATCAAGCAACAGATCTATACTTAGAATCATGTTCAATCAATTAATATCCCAATGAACTATCCCTCAATCCCCCAAAACGGTTGGGCTCAGCTATATGACTAGCATCCAAATAAGGAGATGGAGTTTCACAATATAATACACCAAATTAACCTTCAACATCAAATTCGCTACAGTGAACATCCGTTCACCATCTAGCTCAACCTGGAAATAAAAATTCTTCTCTGCACTCTGTCAGTAATTTAATTCCCGTGTTCACAGCCAATTTAAGCTGTGAATGTTCTCTCCGAATCCAAACTATTCTAATACTACTCTGCTTTTTAATAAATTGTCTTTTAAGGCAAATTAAGAGTTCTCAGGTTCAAAAGAGAAGTTCTCGGGTTCTCTAAAACCAGAAATTCTCTAAATTGCATACTTATACCTACACATAAATCTTGAACCTGACCAAATGAACTCCTACCTAATATTGAACATAAAGAAACTGGAACAATAATAACCAGAACTTAAACCAAGGATATCAGTGCCATCCTGTTCTGCATAACCACTTAAGGGGTCATCTCCCTTATGCATTTGGATCCTGACTAAGCCACTGACAGTCTCGAGGCATTACAGAAACAAGCATAAGAGGCAGTGTGAAAGCATTGCACAAAAATAAAAGCCTGCTCATCATACCATTAGGAAGCTCTGTGTCTAAAAGAACTCCGGTTTCCAGAGCCCAACAACGGGCGACATTCTCTTTTGTGTATCCCCCACCTCCAGTTACCTGTGAAAGGTCCCATGCAGTCAAACAGATGCAGATAACTTGTTATGAAACCAGAAATGGAATTCGAATTGAGAAACACCCACCAGCAGAGGCAAATTAAATTTCTTCACAAACCTTACACATTCAGCATGTCCTGTAAGAATCATTCATTGAGAGAGAGATTAAAAATCACCAGAAGACAAACCAATGCATTCAATCTCCCAAAGAGCTGAATATTAGAGATTGAACGCAATCCTGAAAGTGTTTAAAATAAGAAACCAAATACAAGTAGAATAGCACCATCAATGGAGAGGTTGAAGCAGCCCAGACGGTCTCCAGCAAGCGAATCTGCCCCACATTGCAGAACTATTGCGCCAGGTAAATATGTTTCAACAACCTTTGAAATAATCTATGAAATGACATGTTGCAAGTGAGATGCTTTAATAAAACAGAACATAGTAAAACAAATATGATAGAAACTTTCTTTACAAACTTACTGTTTTGAAGAGTCTAGTGAAACTGCCGTCATCTATTCCATCCTTGAGAGGCACATTTATGGAATAGAATCTTCCATCTCTTTCCCCTGTATCCTTCAGAATAAAACCACGGTAAGCATAGATAGAGGTGTTCATAAGAGGGGCCTTCCCTAAATGCAAGGGGTAGGAGTTTCATCCTAGAGGATGAATTTACACTATCCAGAGCAAACATGAAATTCAGATGCTCTTGCGGTACAAATGTATTTCAATTTTTCCCTAGGCTGGGAGTAGCAAATAAAAAGCCAACAATGATTCCAAGTTATTGAAATCTTTGCCACAAATGACGCCGTACATGTGCTTTCTCAGGAAAACTCATGTTAGTTATTGGTTTAAGAATTTGGAATCGCACAGATACTTAAACGGTAAAACCTAAGTAGGTCAAAAGCCCTGTTTTTCTAAGCTTCCCTTCTTTAGCCCTTTATGATAGCACAAGGGGGTGGAATTCCACCCAAAAAGCAGTGCACAACCCAAGGAATTTATAATTACGGTAAGTTTGGCATGAATGATGACATAAAAGCTACATGACTTGAGAATGTTTTGATAATATAAATAGTGTTATTAGGGCCCGTTTATTAAACAATGTATAAGTTATTCATAGTTCGGTTATTTGTTTTTGTTGTTTTCATAAACTCTGCAATAGCTATACATTGTTTGGTTACTTATTTGATTTTCCTAAACAATAATACCCATATAACTTCTGCACACAGATCTATGTATTATTTTATGCAGGATAAAATGTGGAATAAGAATATAAGGAAATTAACAATACATGAATTAAAGCTACTAAATGGAAAAATAGCTCTTCATGAGCAAAGTAACCAAAATTTTATTTTGTTAAAAAATAAAAACATATTTAATATACACACACTATATAATTATTTTAATACAAAAACCTAAACATTCGATAATAAACGATCTCTACCTGGATATCTTTGTACTATAAACCCTGCATTACCATCCTTCATTACTATCATTACTAATACCTTATAGTACAATCCTTTGTATCACTAATTCATGTATTTATTTATTTTTGAGAATGGTAAAGTTGTATTCATCGGCAATGAGGGTATGCTGGCAACCAAACAAAAAATTCCAAGGCAAAGTAGTCATGATTACAAAGAGCCTAGGAAATCTACTAACTGATCTACTTCATATATACCCTCTTCTTTACACCAAAAATATAGAGTATTAATGCAGTTTTCTTTAACTTATTGGGTTTGTAATATTCTTAAAGCACCTATTGTTTCTTTCCTTCCAAATTGACCACCATATGCAAGATGGAACTAGATTCCACCATTTTTTCTGTGTT